GGGTGGTAAGGGAAATTTCTCCACAGACCTAAAGGTATGTTACACAAATGCTCGCAGCCTACAAAATAAAATGGTGGAGCTCAAGTCAGTGGTGGATAAAGAAAGACCGGACGTTATTGCTGTCTCGCAAACTTGGTTAACGTCAGAAATATTAGACAGTGAAATTCAGTTGACTGGTTTCATAATCAGTAGGGCTGATAGATTAAACCGCAGGGGAGGCGGGGTTATTCTGTACACGAAAAGTACCCTAACCATAAGATTAGCTGAGACAGTAGCACATGTTTCAGGGACATGTGAACTGGTTCGATGTAAGCTGAAATGTCGACGGCAAGATATTGAATAATTTATAGTATATCGCAGTCCAGAATGTGTAGCAGATGATTTTCTCCTAAGTAAACTAAAGTCCTGGTGTAACAAGGGTAAAAGCCTTGTAGTAGGTGACTTCAATGCACCGTATATAAACTGGGTTAACTTAGAAGTAGGGTCGTCGATAACGTCGTTCGAATGCCACAAGATACGACTTAAGAAATTCTTCTTCCCTTTTTTGCCTTAGTCTTCACACACGGTGATGACGTTGGTCAAACGGCTTTTCTCCCACCACTAGGGAGAAGTGACCATGCAGTCATCTGATTTAAATTCATGGCTGCGATTGCCTGTCAAACAGTTACGCCGGCCCGTCCTAACATATGGAAGGCAGATATGCAGGCAATAAACTCCGCAGCATCGGCTGAGAACTGGGAAATTGACTCTTTTCAGGCAGTTATACAATCGGGTAACTCAACCATACATACCCTGTACAGTTCCGAAGAAGAAGAAGCACGGCCAACCCTGGATGGGCCGTTATATTCGACGTTTACCAAACCAAGATAAGAAATGTTGGGATGTTGCCATCCGCCTTGGCACAGCAGGTACGATGGAACGCTACAGATCGATAAGAAACAAGTTTATAACAAAAATTCAGGAAGCTCAAGGAAAATATGAAATGCAGTTGACACAATCTGCACTCAAGCAACCTAAGAGAATATTCTCGTACATAAACTACAGAACAAGGACATATCTTTGAATTCCCAACCTAATTAAAGAAGGTAGTGAAACTGAAATGATAGGGGAAGATCAGGAAAAAGCAGAGGCTATGGCTAACGATTTTGGGACAGTCTTCACTCAGAAACGTCCTCTACACAAAGAACCACACCAAAATACAGAGTCAACAAACCACCTGCTCACCGTGGACTTCAATCAAGACCATGTGCTTAAGGCTCTTAGCACCTTGAACATGGAGAAGTCAACAGGACCAGATGAACTACACCCCAAAATCTTGAGATTTATTGCACAATATATCGCAGCCCCACTGACTGTGATATTCAACATGGCACTTGACCATGGTGTGTTACCTATGGACTGGAAGGACGCGATCGTCACTCCCATACATAAAACAAGATCAAGATAGCTTCCATCGAGCTTCAGACTTGTAAGCCTCACCAGTGTTGTGGTTAAAGTAAAGGAAGGAATAGTCAAACTGACCATAATGGCATTTATGGAAACCAATAAATTGCTAAATATAGAACAACATGGTTTTAGAAAGGGTCTGTATTGTACAACGAACTTCCTTATGGCAAGGGAGTCCTGGATAAAGGCTCTAGAGAACGGAAACTCAGTGAATGGTGTCTACATAGACTTCAGTAAGGCTTTTGACAAAGTGCCAACTAATAGACTGCTATTGAAGTTGGAAAACCTTAGTATTGACGGACCTCTTTTAAAATGGATGAATGATCTCCTGGTAAGTCGTAGACAGAAAGTAAGAATAAATCGCAAGTGCTCCATCTGGAGACCAGTACATAGTGGGGTACCTCACGGTTCCGTTTTAGGTCATTTACTTTTTATAATGTATGTTATTGATCTTCCAAGTATAGTACAGTCTCCCATGTTATTATACGCTGACGATGTAAAAATCTCGAGAGAAATAACTGGAGACACAGACGCATGTACTCCTCAGGCAGACTTAAATAATATGATTAACTGGTCTAAAGAGTGGCTGCAAGCCCCTGTTTAAAAGGTGACTCGGATATCTTAGAAAAAGTACAGAGGGTGGCTACCCATGCAATTCCAGAACTCCGGGGTTCACCATACAAAGAGCGGCTTGAAAAGCTGGACCCCTTTACTCTGTCCTATCGCAGATTAAGGGGAGATTCAATTTTTATGTACAGAATACTGAGAAATGATTTTGGACCTGGCTTATTCAATCCTTTTCTTTCCTCTAGATCGAGACATCTCAGATGACATAGCAGGCGAGTAGAAAAGCCAAGAACGAACAAAATACCTGTGGCATACTGGTTTTTACATCGAGTCATCAATACTTGGAACCTGCTGCCCGAAGCAGTGATGTCCGCACCTTCGATTGACTTTTTCAAGACTGGACACTCACAGAAGTATACTAGAAAAGGAATAACATAGGCCGTAGGCCTTCTGTCCATACTACACAAATCTGAATCTGATGTACATCTGGGCAGAAAACTTCAGCAATTCTTTGTTCAAACAGTTCGAATGCTTATAAACGGAATAAAAATTTCTTGCTTAAGGTTCGTAGCACATGTCCCATCCATCAGAGTCTGGATTTATAGATAGTGAAACTAATTTGGTTATCTTCAGTGTGCACGAACCACTACATTACTAGTTTCAGCTCCACTTTGGAATAGACAGGAGGCTTGACGGCCTGCGTTGGTCGTGGCAATGATTGTCTTCCAGTTGATCCAACCTTCCTCTGAAAGAGTCGACGGATGGAGCCTCAACCACGTTCTGAGGTAATGAGTTTCACTCGTTGATGATTCGATGGGACAGTCGATGGTCAGATGACAAGTAATTTGACTCATACACAGGTGTGCACAATAAGGCGACGTTCGACAGATTCCCTTCGAGGAAATCCAAGATTATTCAAGATGACTTTTGGGCCTGTTAAATGGCTAAAGGATAAAGTAGCTCAAGCGTCTAAAATGACGCATCCGAAATTCAGTCGCCTACTCGCTTTGATGGTGGATGCTTCGGACAAAGCATTATGTGGTGTTCTTAAGATCTTCGTAATGCTAAAATATTATAGTTCAAGCGTTCATTCACTTCTTTGTTTCGTATAGGCATTATACTTCCAACTATTTTATATAGCATAGTGAAAATTTTCGCGTTTGAAAAAAGTAACCTTGCGCTCCAAACATGTTGCCCTACAATCAAAATAAAACCTACTCGCCACTAGTTTGGTCTCCCCTATCGATAAAATGAGGTCTCAAGCAGCATGATAAAGTTGTCGAACTTCATCTAATGGCCGTTACTTTACAATTCTGTTCGAGTCAGTATTTTTTCACTTTTGGTACAAATACGATCACTTTTGTGACCTATTGTCCGATGATTTTTCCGTAGGAATCTCGTAGAATCAATATGATGAAAACAACCTCATTCATATAAGAGCCATCTACGACATTACAGATGCAGATATTAAAAAATAGTTGTATACGTATCTGTGCCTAAAAATAGCTCGATTTGCGGTTCTAAAACCAACTGAAATATCGAATGCTCAATCTTTTCTTGAAAGAATTGAATAAATCTCAGTTTTACGGAATATGAGTATTGAAAACCAAACAAAGGCCTTGATTATGAAAAAGTTTGAGTCACGGTAAAGTACACTTTGTCTTAGGACACTACATTTTCTGGTGTGGTCCTTCGTTGTTTAATACCAAGACCTCTATCTTCTCAATTCGCATAAATGACCTCCTTTAACAAATATCGTCTGATTTATTGCTTTTCGCTGAGAAGGTGAAGCTTCGTAGAGAGGTTTTAAACAAAGATGATAAGATGACATTTCAGAAGGATATGACCCGACTTTGAAGTTGTTCGGATAACGACCGACTTAATATATGGTACTTAAAAGTGTAGGGTAGTTCATCTGATACCTGTGTCAGATAACGCAAGCAACCTAGATAACTCTCCATATAGAGATATCCCGAGTTTAAAAAGATTTAGGAATACTAGTGCTCTCTCTGGCATTTTTTATCATGTAGCGGTAAACAAACCCCCAAAACAAAAAGCTCTGTAAGTTTTCGACATCTTCAGTCAGTTCAACCGTGGAGTTTTCCACTTAGTGTTAAACAGTTTTGCCCGACCACATTAAAACTATGGAAATAGCGTTTCCTCCATCTCTCCAAAGAAATAACAATACACCGAAACGTAACCAACGAGCCACTAAACCAGTTTAGGGATTCAAATTCAAACCTTATGAAGAGCGTCTCAAACCAGTGAGTCTTTACACATTATATTATAGGCGTCTCAGTTGTGAAATTCTAATGATTTATGGCATCCTCAACACTCTTGGACAATCCCTTAAATAACCATTTAGGCTCAGCCTAAACAAAAAAATAGGACGACGCTCAGAAATTGGAAACACAACATAGCATAACGTACTGTAGGCACATCTTGTACTCCCTAAGAGTAGAATTCGCTGCCGGCTGAGCAAGTGCGATTGGTTTCTAAGGAATCAGAGGAAACTTGATATATTCTTAAGAATTAAGGATAGCATTTCACTACAGTTTACAAAGAATTCTTTTTTTACCATTATGTATACGTAGGTCCCGACCCGGAGCCATCAGTTATCAGATGCTGCTAGAAGCGAAATCTCGGAGAACAAAGGCTTCTTTTATTCTGTCCAGAACCACTCAATTTATTCAAACCATTTGATGTTGCTATGTTCTATCTCCAGCTGAGGCATGGAACAAGTCGGGTACTCAGAGCGGAAGCGATTGTGTAATAGCATTTATATTAAGCAGTACCTACGTGAATAAGGTTACCTAAGCCATACTTACAGTATAACGAACCTACATTTATAAAGTTGGGTTGTTTCTTCTATATATAAGCATACTTTCTCCATTATCATAAGTGAACCCGATTGGAGTCGACTCTAACAATAGTTAGTGATGTGACCTTGTTATTGTTTATATTCGTTAAACGTAATAAACAAACGAGAGGAAACTTTTTAAATGTTTCTTAACACGGATGTTACAATTCGCCTGTGTTTTTCATGCATTCCTCGGAATAAGTCTTATTCACTCTCAGAGTAGGTTGTAACGTGTTGGTCTTTTGGAATTACAGTCTGTAACTTTCCACATACTTGATAGATTCACTTGTTTTTTCATTGTTTATAAATATATTTGTAGAAGTAACTGTGTACAATACCTCCCACTATTATTCAATAAATTACAAGTAATACATCAACTCTAAACTTCATGCAGGGATTGACGATAAAAACTAAACGGTCGGCCAGGATTCTGAGTTGCTTTGTTTCAAGACCATAGAAAAACCTTATACATTTTTACTGGTCAGTTAAAAAATTTTACTGCTGCTAAGAAATTGAAGGTTTTTATTTTTGCGTTATTTATCTAGCAAGCATTGCCAAAAATCGTCAAGCTGCTATATTCTTGTGGAGTGTATTACAAGTACGGATACTCCTTGAAAAGTTAACTGAAGCAAAATCTTTTAGAAATAAACATCTTCATTTACGACGACTATAACAAATGTATTCACATTTCTTCGATAGTAAGTGTGTAGTTAAGGCTATAATATAGGTGTTTTTAGCAGAGACGTACATCTGACAAGTTCCAAACCGCTTTGGTTCAAAGTGATTTTGGGAACTTATTACCTTGAGAATTATCTCAAGTAACAAAGTATTGAAAAGCTGTTTCATACTAGTTTTAGAATCTTTAGAGGTATCCACTGTTATGATGAACAGTTTTGCTAGTGTTCCTGAAAGTGAAATCCCTTCTCACTATGAATTCCATCTAAGTTGGGGATAATCTACTACTAATGGGTTCATTTATTATATATTTTCTCACCGAAAATGTTACATGAAAACTCGACAAACGCAAAAGTTGTTTACAAACAAACACTAATGTTCGATGTTGGCGGAAAAAGTCACACTCCATCGCAAAATAATTTATTTTAGAAATCATTAGTGTTCTGATAAAGTCTGAAGTTTGTCAGTTTTCTTTGTCATGTTCTTCAGTGTAGACATCGAATAGAGTTCTTAGATCTTGTTCGGAATTTCTTTTTGTAGTTTCATGGTTTTTGTCGTGTCTTAGGTCGATGAAGATAATTCGATTCCTTATACATCAATTAATTGACTTTCAGTCATAAATATGATCTTATTGTTCCCTTTTAGCAACAGTAAGATGGTGTTCAGTATCACCTGAAGAAGAAATCAAGTGCAACCGCCTTAGTTCAGTGATTCAATCCACTACCACGATTTCAAACAAATATAATTTAACCTGTATTCTTGGCTCAGATGAATTTAATTGTATGAAGTTGATCAATGAAAAGCAGGCTGATTTAATGAATTTGGATGTTGGTCTGGCATATTATGGCAGCTCATTGTACAGTTTACGTCCTATCGCTGTGGAAAACTATGCAATAAGCAATGCACCTAATGCAAGGAACCTGTACTATTATGCGGTCATGGTTAAGCCAATCAGTATAAGTATAGATCCTACAAATTTAAGGGGCAAAGAAATTTGTTCAGCCGGTAAACTGATTTTATTCTGACAATAATTTATTTTAAAAATAGGTGCTGGGACGGCAGAAGGCTGGGTAATGCCCGTTGGTACACTAATATCAGACTTGAGAGCAATTCCGGTTACGCAATGTAACAGTGTAGTACAAAACTTAATTCGTTATCTTGGTGATTCTTGCATACCGAATTCATTATCTGAAATTTTTAATCCTTTCGGAGACAACACACAAGAAGTCTGTCGTCTGTGTTACAATACAGGGCTATCTGATTGGTGTGGATCATTGGATAGGTACTCAGGAAACCAAGGAGCTTTGAGATGTTTGAGGGAACATACTGAAAATTTTGAGTCAAAATATAAGCCTGTTGTCGCTTTTTTGAGAGATCAAGAGGTTGAATTAGCTTCTGGTGATGGGTTTCCAAAAGAAAATTATGAATTATTGTGTCCATCAAAAATGCCTAAGCAAGTTAACACTTTTAGCAACCAGTGTTTCACTCGTTATTGCACTTTATTCGCATCGATATTTTTACTTATATAGTGATGATATTGAGGAAAACGTTCTAACAGTCATGATGTCTTGAGCATTAGTTATTAGATGTTTTAAGATCACATATTAGTTCAATTTAATATTTCGTGTAGATATATTTAAAGGTCAGCATTTGGACTTATTATTTTACTACATAGAGTAGAAATTTATCGTATTGTTTTACTTTAAATACATTTTGGATGTCAAAGTTTAATATTTTTCGTGGAGTAACACCACCTAATAAGTAAAATACTGGAAGATCAATATTTGAGCTAATGACATAGGTCATATTTTTCAACTTTTAAGTATTGGAGTTGGATCATAATTTTTCTCAGTGGACTTTTCTACACACCGAAAATTTTGTTTTTAGTTTCTGTAGAACACTTATAGGAAGCAAAAGGTCAGTTTAGTGTGAGATTCAATATTAGGCATCTAACTTTTATGATTGGAAGTTTGGATTCCTCTCTAAAAGCTGAACTCTGGATGCTTCTGGCAAAAACCCTAAACCTTGATGTTTTCGTCCATAATAAACAAATAATTTTTTGAGATAGTGGTTTTATCGTCCGCCAAAGTGTCATTCTCCGTTCCAACCCTTATTACCACCAAAGACCGTGAAGTACAACACGTTAAGCGTCAAAATTAGTATCCCCTAGTTTGTTCAAACCTCAATTTTGATCACTGGCTCTCATCGTGTGATCTTTATGTTTCTTGTAGTGACTTCACCGATACCAGTCCACGAGTGCATTGAAAATCGTATTGAACATGGCAACAACTGTTTGTTATCTGGTTGTGCTCCGTGCGATTATCTTAAATGTAATAACTTATGGCCTTGTGCCCTATTAATATACAACGTAATGATACCGCCAATTAGAGGACAGTGAATTATCAACCGAACCAATGATGCATAAACCCGTTCGAGCAGTCTAGAGTATTTATCAATTCTTCTCCCTACCTAACCCTGCCTGTTAAGTCTAGAACACCTATCTCAGCCCCTGCGATATGAATCGTGTATTTCAAATAAACTGAATTTATATACAAACCAAGCAGACCACGTCGCATCATAAAATAGAAAACAACATCTGTACAAAATCTAGCCAAAAGTGGCTGTGAATGTCGGAGACTGGAATTAATAGACTGGGCATAACTTGGGAATGGTAAATCGTACAATATTAGGTTATAGGTCAAAATAAAACTTGTAGTAGGAGAAGTATAGGTATACATAATTTAGCTACTGAATAGTTATACATTATAAAATACGTATATTATTTGTCCATAAGTAGTTCTCAAAAGTTACCATTCATAATTCACGTCGCGATATATTTTCCCCTTTTTTGAAGATTCGAAGTTTAGGTCCTGACTTTAAATTTTCTAACTTTATCCTCCTCCACGAAATAATGTTGGATCCTCATATGCCCAAGTTACAATTAATGTGACCTTATTTAAAACAGGTTTCTTGCATTGAATAGAGGATCCACTAGAAGTGGCTAGATGGTGGGGATGAACGACATTTGACTGGAGGTCATCAGGGTCTAATTCTTCTGGAACATTCTCATCAAATTTACTGAGAATCTCATTACTAGACAATGGATCACTACGAAAATCAGTATCTATCGAAATGTCGTCGGGTTTTTGATCATCATTTGATTCGCCCGACATACTTTTCGACACCAAGTCCTTAAACAGTTCCACAGCGGGCATCAGGCGGTCATTAAGATGAAATTACTAGCTCGAATCTACGTATATTGACCGTCAATGGACCATACTATAGAACAAAAGTGTCTCAGTTGTTGGTCCTCTCTATAGGTCGCGAAAACTCTTACTAAAGCAGAAACAAAACCATGACCAAAACCGGACAGACCTTGGCAAAGAATACACGCTCATTTTTCCGGTTCCATTAAATGTAGAAGTTACTTGTTTGTTGTAGACGCTTTCACGAGATTGCCGAGAGTATATGACATTTCAAACACGATACCAGAGAACACAATTAGAGAATTTTCAAGATTGTTTGCTTGTTTCGGGGTTTCAGTGATCTTGGAAACTGACAACGGCACTCAGTTTGTCATCTGCTTTTATACGGTTTTGCAACGGAAATGGTACAACACGTCTACAGTCCTCTCCGTACCATCCTTAGTCGAATGTTAAAACAGAAAAAATCCGTGGATACGATTAAAAGAGCTCTGGTCAAAAGGGGAGGAGAGGGTATTCCCGAAAAAGTGGCCGGTAAATTCTTAATGTATTACAGAGTTACCGCAAATCCGGCGGTGCCAGAAGAAAAGTCACCAGGTAAATGTATATTCCGAAGGAAAATTCTGACAGTCTTTAACAATATGTTATCGCTAAGCAAGATAAATAAACCTACAAATGAGTATCGAAGGGCTACTCGCAGCCTTCAGGTGGAAGGAAGGGTACTAGTCAAGTCGTATCAAAGTAAAAGGAAGTGGGAACCAGGGGTTATAGGACGTCGGATTGAAAATGCACTGTACTTAGTCCAGAGAAATGTCTGGACGTCTATAAGATATGTAAGCCAAATTCAAAGGGACTGCAGAACATTGATCACACAAAACCGACTGCCGTTTCAATTGCTCGTGGATTCATTTCAAAAAATCCCTAAATACAACGAATGTAGGAGATATAAAGACGAGAGAGCAAAGCGGCACAACCTTCAAGAGTGATGGATTACAAGAGGAATGCTGCAACCAAGTGTCAGGTGGATACAAAGGAGACGTGATCTATAAGAGATTTTAAAGAGCGTAACTCTTCTAGAGTTACTGCCGGTCCCAAGCCCGGGTAAAGGAGGAGGGTTGGGCATGGGGTTAGCGTCTCCATCCCGTAGAAAACTAACTCGCTAAAAAAACGCTTACCAGAAAGATGTGAGGACGTCTCGCGGGTGAACTCGAGGAAGCTTTAAGAAGCTTAGAAAGAGCCGAAGATATTCCACCCGATCATCTTTTGGAAGAACATTCCAGAACCTCCACGTGTAGCTTCCCTTTTGGACAAATGCTCAAAACCACTTTATGCGGATTACTTAATTACTTACGCCTGTTATTCCCAATGAAGCATAAGCCGCCGACCAGCATTCTCAAAATCACTCTGTCCTGAACCTTTCTTTCCAGTTCTATCCAATTTTTTTCCATTCTTCTCATGTCTGTACCCATTTCTCGGCGTAATGTGTTCTTTGGCCTTCCTCTTTTCCCTTGGCCTTGAGGATTTCATGTGAGGGCTTGCCTTATGACACAGTTTGGTGCTTCCCTCAATGTGTGTCCTATCCACTTCCAGTACTTCTTCCGGATTTCTTCCTCCGCTGGGATCTGGTTTGTTCTCCCCCACAGTAGGTTGTTGCTGATAGTGTCCGGCCAACGGATCCGAAGTATTTTACGTAGACAGTTGTTAATAAACACTTCTATCTTCTGGGTGATGGCTTTCGTAGTTGTCCAGGTTTCCGCCCCATACAGTAGAACTGTTTTGACATTTTTATTAAAAATCCTGATCTTGGTGTTGGTTGACAGTTGTTTTGAGTTCCGGATGTTCTTCAGTTGTAAATCTGCGGCTCTTGCTTTGCCGATCCGTGCCTTCACATTTGCATCGGATCCACTGTGTTCATCAATGATGCTGCCCAAATACGTAAAGGTTTTTACATCTTCCAAATCTTCTCCGTCAATTGTGATTGGATTGATGTATTCTGTGTTGTATCGGCGAATCTTGCTTTTCCCTTTGTGAATGTTGAGACCTACTGCTGCTGAGGCTGCTGCTACACTGGTCGTCTTTTCCTGCATTCGATGTTGCGTGTGCGATGGAAGGGCCAGATCATCTGCGAAGTCTAGATCGTCCAGCTGCATCGTAGCTGTCCACTTTATCCCATGCTTCTCCTCAGATGTTGATGTCTTCATAATCTAGTCGATCACCAGGAGAAAGATAAAGGGTGAGTAAGCAAGCTTGACTGACACCATTCTTTACTTCTAACGACTCTGTGAGATGTCCTCCATGCACGATTTTGCAGGTTAATCCATCATAGGAATTCCGTAGGATATTGACTATTTTCTGAGGCACGCCATAGTATCGAAGGAGCTTCCATAGTGTTGTTCTGTCCACGCTATCAAATGCCTTTTCGTAGTCAATGAAGTTGATGTAGAGTGATGAATTCCATTCAATTGATTGTTCCACAATGATCCGTAGAGTTGCGATTTGGTCTGTACACGATCTATCCTTACGGAATCCTGCCTGTTGGTCACGAAGTTGGGCGTCTACGCAGTCCTTCATCCTGTTTAACAATACCCTCTTGAAGACTTTTCCCGGTATTGAGAGAAGAGTGATGCCCCTGTAGTTATCACACTTGCTGAGATGGCCTTTCTTCGGTATTTTGATCAGGAGTCCTTCTTTCCAGTCTTTTGGTATTTGTTCCTCATCCCAAATCTTATTGAAGAGAATGTGGAGTATCCTTGCAGTTGCCGCTACGTCTGCTTTCAGTGCCTCTGCTCGAATGTTGTCCGGTCCCGCTGCTTTGCCACTCTTGATTTGTCTGATGGCCATGCTGATTTCTTCAATTGTTGGTGGGCCAACATTGATTGGGAGGTCCGTGGGTGCTGCTTCGATGTTGGGTGCGTTCAGTGGGGCTGATCGATCCAAGACTTCTTTGAAGTGTTCTACCAACCTGTTTCGTTGTTCTTCAATGTTCGTGATTACCTTGCCTTCCTTGCTTTTCACTAGTCGCTCCGGTTTACGGTGATTTCCAGACAGTTTCTTTGTCGTGTCATACAGTTGTCTCATGTTTCCTTCTCTCGCAGCCTTTTCCGCTGTCGTTGCCAAATCTTCCATATATTTACGTCCGTCAGTTCTGATGCTCCTCTTCACTTACTTTTTTACTTCTGTGTATTCAGCTTGTGCCTTGGCTTTTTCTGTTCGTGTTCGGCTGGTATTGATTGCTGCCTTCTTGTTCCTCCTTTCTTGAATCTTATCCAGTGTATCAACAGTGATCCATTCCTTGTGATGGTGCTTATTGTGACCCAGGACCTCATGACATGTTGAAGTGATTGCCTCTTTGATCCCCTTCCAGTTGCTCTCCACAGTAGTTCCTTCTCCATTGAGTAGATCATGAAAGGCCTGGAACTTGTTGCTGAGGACTATCTTGAATTTGTTGAGTTTGTTAGTATCCTGGAGAAAGGCCGTATTGAACTTTTGTGATACTGTCTGCCCCATTGTCCAGTGCTTCTTGAGTTTCAATTTCATCTTGGCGACCAGTAAGTGATGATCTGATGCCACATCAGCTTCTCTCTTGGTTCTCACATCCTCCATCGTCCTCCTGAACTTTTCGTTGATGCAGATATGGTCGATTCGGTTTAGCGTAGTGTGATCCGGTGAAGTCCATGTGGTTTTGTGAATGCGTTTATGTGGGAATCTAGTGCTGCCTATGACCAGTTTATTGAAGACACATAGGTTTACAAATCTCTCACCATTTTCGTTCCTTTCTCTCAGTCCACGTCGTCTCATGATGTCTTCATATCCAGTGTTGTCCGTTCCAACCTCGGCATTTAGGTCTCCCATCAGAATGGTCAAGTTCTTTGTTGGGCACTTCTCGACGACTGACTGCAGCCTATTGTAGAATTGATCTTTAGCGTCTTCATTGTAGTCGTTGGTAGGCGCACAGCATTGGATGACGTTCATTGAAATGCCCTCTTTCTTTGTTTTGAAGGAGACTTTGATGATTCTTAGTGTATGAGATTCCCATCCTATAAGTGAATTTTGTGCTTGTTTGGATAGCATCAATGTAACTCATTGTGTATGTGGGGTATTTTTTTCATCATGGCCGGAGTATAACAGAAGCTCCCCTGAAGCTAGTCGTTGTTGTCCTACTTGCGTCTAATGTGTTTCTCTGATTTCAAGAACCTCTGGGTTGTATCTCTTCATTTCTGCAGCAATTTGAAGGGCTCTTGTGGTTTACCTTATTGTATGAGCATTTCATGTACCTAAATTAATAGTTGCTTTAATTGTCAGAAGGGGCATCAGCCTCGTGACTTCCGGAAGAACTCATCTTTCACCATGAGGCGTCACAGTTCTTCTTAATGAAGGCTTTCTAACTCTCAGGGCAGTTTAAATGATTTGAATTATTTTTTCTGGTTAGCATCTATTTAGCGAGTTAGTTTTCTACGGGATGAGGTAGTTAACCCCATGCCCAACCCTCCTCCTTTACCCGGGCTTGGGGCCGGCAGTAGCCCCAGAGAGGCTCCAGGCGGAGTTTGCATGCGGATTAGATGACTATAATGATGATTTCGCTTTCAACTATAGACTATAACTATCTAAAAGTATTGTACCAGATTTGACGCTGTTTGGAATAGCATTCGTTCTCACTCTTCTTCTGTCTTCATATTTGCGACTCGGAGGGTTCTAGCGTTTGAGTGCTCCGTTTGTACGTGGTATATCAAGAATATGAGCTCTGTATATAACAGTAAACAATGAATTTTAGGTGATATGGCTCAGTATCGTTCATAATAGTGCATGTGCAATCACTCCTTGTATTCCTGAAAAACCTGAGCCTAAGGATCTTCTTGTACCTACTTCTTTTTCTATATCTAATCTTTCTTACTTCTTATGTAGTCAAATCATGGAGTGTTTACCTAATATGTACATATAGCCTTCGATCATCTAGCGGTACGCCCCGCAATCTAGCTAGTTATAAACTTTTCTCTTCTGGTTTTCAAGATTTTTTCCTACACCTTGCCTTTTGTGATACTGAAACTCTTCTCACCATCTGTCGAATGTGACAGCTTCTACGTTACGTTCCGCTACATATTACTTATGAGCGATTTTGTTAGTAGCACTCAACTCACTACTACTGATACTGTTATTACTCTTACCACTCCTATCTGTCTTGAAATAACTCTAGACTAGATGTTTTTCTTCTAGAATTTTTACATATAATAACAGATGAATATCTATTCACTTCATTGCGTTATGAATTAAGTTTCTTAGCTAACCAACGAAACAACTTGGCTTTAGTAGAAGCTGTCGTAAGTAATTACAATGAGTAACTTTAAAAGGATTTAATTATTAAAACGTTACACCCTCAGTCTGATGATAATCGACCAACACTTTACTAAACAGTTTTGGATTTTTTTTTAATGGAGTAGTACATCTTTTAAGATGATCATTCGCATTGTGCTTTATCAAAAAACATACATTTAATTAGACTTCTTGGTATAAAAGTATAAATGTAATTAAATGTCGTAGATCTTGAATCCTTATTTGTAGTACTACATTTTTAGAATTAACGTACCATTATCATAATGACAATGGTTAGTTTATTAATGGCTCCACGACTTGTTTTTTGCTCTTTATTAGTGGAATGTGGACAGCCAACATCTCTTCATCTGCAGACTGTAATTGGGGTAAAATTCCATCTCGTATGATTATGACGAGTTTAATTCAAAATGATGTAACTGTGTACACAGATTTTATTGAGTTATTGGTTCAACATTTTGGTCCGAGTGGAACTAGTGTGTCATCGTTCAATTTATTCTCATCAGCTGGTTATACAACTGTCAGTGGGAACAATACTACACATCATTTAATGTTTTCTGATCATACAAAAAATATTTATATTCCTCCTGTAACCGAAACTGAAACTTACTACCGATGGATTGGTAGGTGACCTCGTTTATTTTCACTCTATATGTTTCACTATTACACTGCAAACTCTTTATTAGACTATGATAGTTAAGTTTCATAAAAAAACAGATATTTCAGTTGCTGTATATTGATATTCAGCTGTCTCATTTTATGAATAATTTAATCAGTATCCGTATGAAGCATACGTGGGCTTTGTGCAGTCGAATCGATCTTACTTTCAAGCTATTAGAAACCGTTTGCCTGGGCATCACTTGGAATTGATTGGAATCTTTGTAATACAGCATTTCTTTCATAGAACCCTGAAAAACGTATCTAAACGAATGTTAAAACATGATCTAGTGGACTATTTATTTTCTATTAGGTTTACATCACGTGTAAGGTTTGCTAGGGTCTTTGGAAATTCATCAACTTTAGAAGTTTCTTGTACGTCTGCTTTATGAAATCTAAACTTCAATGGCACAAGTCAATAGCTAACCACCTTCTCGAGTGAACAATAAACACGATCCTCTCATAAAACATAGCCCAACTTGCTAAGTATTGAGTTATGTTTCGAAGGTAGTTATTATCATGAACATATGTTAGTTAACCAACCTTCGAAAACCAATGAGAAATATAGATCATTTTGGAGTGAAACGTATTCCATTCAAAATATATGAAACTTGCTACATAACCCTTAAAACGTATACGGTCAGTCAATTTTTGGTATAATAGAGTAAACAAATTACATTGAGTTGAGAATTTTATCTACCTTTTTATTATTTGACAAAAACTACCTTAAAACTACATCTTAAGTTAGATAAATGTTTAATATGTCAAAACAGTAGATAAGAGCATTAAAAACATATACAGAGCACTCTAAGGTGATCAGAATGAAGCCTTGTTTTGAGGCGTCAGTTTTAGCTTAATCCCTTTCGGAGTAGGTGTCCTTCTGTATTTGTTCGTGATTGCTTTAACAAGTTGACCACTTAATTGTTTGTATTTTCTTCCATGGATGGTTTCGAGATCTTGATCAGTTTCTTCTTTAGGATGTTTCTTCTTTCTTCTCTGTGTCGTTTACCATATCTTATTTAACATTCCTTTTACCATACATTTATTTCTTTGTCTGTTTTCGTATACAAGATCCTTCATTTAAAAAAGCTCTAGAAAAATTAGAATCATGTCCACTTCCTACGCTTGGATGGTGTGTAATTGATGAATTTGAAATGTCTAAATGTCAGCGTATGTCTAGTGCATTCTCTGCAAAACGTATTCAACCAGAAATGTTTTGTTTACAAGCTAATTCAACAATTGATTGTATGAAATTAATCAAAGATGGTTATGCAGATATGGTTACATTAGAAGCTGGTGATTTGTATATAGCTGGAAAATATTTTGATTTAGTTCCAGTTGTTTCAGAGTAAGAGTTTTTTAAAAAATTTGGTTAATGTTATATCCTGTGTCCTGTGTCCTATTAATGTATACTCAATGATACCGCCAATTAGAGAACAGTGATTTATCTATCGAACCAATGACGCATAAAACCCGTACAAGCAGTCCAGAGTCCTTATCGGTTCTGCTTCCTGCTTAGCCCCTCCTGTTAAGTCCAGAACACCAATGCCAGCCTCTGCGATATGAATCATTTATTTCAAACATACTGTGTTTAAATACCAATCAAACAGACCACGTCGCATCATAAAATAGGAAACAACATTTGTTCAACAATTAGCCAAATGTGGTTGTGAATAAGGGAGATAATAATTGATAGACAGGCCATAACTCAAGGATGGTGAATGGCATAATAATAGTTCATAGGTCCAAATAAAGCTTGTGATAAGAGGATTACGAATATGAATAGTTCAGTGACTTAACAATTAAACCATAAAATATACGCATAGGATTCGTCCATAAATGGATCCTAAAAGTTACCATTCATTATTCTTATCGGGATATAATGGTTAACAGGGTTAGTATTTACTAATAACTTATTATTTTGACTTCTGCTTACATCAAATAAATGCAATGGTTTGGAAAACATACCCCTATTCATTTACACAATAAAAACTTTCAATAGATATTCCTCTGACATTTGACTTTTTCTTCATCTTTTGGAGTTCATATGGACAGAATTAATCTGTATAATACTAGTTCAAGTCCCCCAAACTTTCACAGTTATTCTTACGTTTCAAGCTATTATTCCATAGAAAATTAGAAGAATAACACTACCGATGAAATCCTGATTTCACTGATCAACGTTGTTATCACTAATAGTAATTTCCCGGTTAAAAACGTCAGGGCAGTTCAGTGTATTTATAACCACTACATTTACCAAAATATTATGCCAGAAAGTAATCGTAAATTTTAATAATCGTTTGTCCATTAGTTTACCACACAATGCTGAAATGTTATCATCATATAAACAGTGCACTTCGAATTATGCTACAAGATATTAAAGTGTGTGGTTAGCAATCGATGTCTGGCTAATCCTGTTCTTCCCAAAATAAACACTAACTAACGACAACATATTATTATTATTATTTGAATACATAACTCATTCGATTTGTGTGGGGACTAGGATACTGCTCGGGTGCCCAAACCGAAGCAGGTGGTTTTCTTAGGAGGCCACATCCCGAACCTTTGACCTATGGGTCTAATCCACAAGGCAGTGGAGCAACGTCAGCAGATGCAGTCTAATGGTAGCCGGTGACCAACGGTTGGTTTATACTCCATTTGTTCTCTGAGGATCCTGTAGCCCATGTACACGATTGGTTTTGAATCTGGGTTTTCCAACTCGCCTAGGTGAACTCTCCGTGTTCACCAACCCTTTTAAAGCACCGGACATCCACTTTTTGTCCTCTTAATTTCGTAAGCAACACCCATGCAGCGAGAAGGTAATAAGTAGGACTTTCCTGGTGGTAGATATGTACGCGTGGCCATACGAAAGCATTTCGAGAGGAAGAGTTGACTCTTCCCACTCTTGGCCATATCAGGGCATTTGGGGACAAGATAACAAGTGATTAGCCGGAAATTCTCACTATTAAAAAAACAGACAATGAAATTTTAATAGCTGACTAATAAAAGGATATAAATCTTGTTAAATTAATTTTTCGTTTTCAATAAACAGTTCTGCCCTGGTAATATTAACTTATTATCCAGAATGATGAAGTTTCAAATTGTTTTCACATTATTTATTTATTATCCTTGTCTCCTCTTACCATCCATTTCTAGTCTAGTTGAACTTTTGTTTTTATATATAAATGATCTTAACAACTATATGTATGATCAGATTATTTGAAATGTATTGCGCCAACTTATCATCACATAGTTCTGATAATCTTCGTCTTCTTCTTATTACACTGTCGGAATTCTGTTGGTACTATGGAAATGGTTGTAATTTCAAAAATATACATTTACTGATATGAACTAGTGAAACAGTCAGTCAGTCAGTCAGCTACAACATAGGACCAGGCACATATATGCATCGGTCCAAGTTGCCATACCTGATTAACACAACAAGATGGTCACCGGGTTCATAAAAGTAGTTAATTCAGAAGTGGTGACACTGATGAAGTTCTTTTAAGTTACTATTAAAGAGTGAGATGTCGTGTATCAACTCATGATCAACAATAAATAATGTTCTCTGAGTGATAACTTTTTTAATATTTGTTATCTTAATTGTGCTTGAAAAAAATTTTGTTTCAAGAACTATCCGTGCAAATACACATAAACAGAAGGATGAATGATTATTTGTATGCAAACAAATGATAAACAGAAGACAGATTTCAAAATATCTTCGACTGAATGTATTATTGATCTGATAGAAAGGCGAATTGCTTAGTCGTAAAATTTCTTTATATCATTCAATGTCGTCAGTCTACTTATAAGTAGTATACCTTAATTACAGAAAAATATTCAATGCTTAATTTTTTTTCATCTTTTGATAGAAATTATGGTAATGGACCATTCTATTACGCAGTTGCTATAGTTGAAAAAGTAAATCCTGGTTTATTAATTTCGAATTGGCGTCATCGTCGTACATGTCATAGTGGTGTAGGTAAAGCAGCTGGATGGATCATTCCATTGAATACGGTCCTGGATACAAGACAAGTAATTGTACTGGATGGACATTTAGTTCATGCATTTGGTGAGAAATTTCATTCAATTATGATATATGATTATCAGCTTACTTATGTGATTATTTTAATCCTTCACTGCCATTATATATCTTTTAGCATTATGAAATATATGGTGCAACTGCTCTCCAACATGTATACAGCGAAAAATTGTTAACATTGAGATCTCTTAGCAGTGACCTATATTTATCTGTTTGTTAACTCACAGCCGAATGAATTAGATAAATAAAGTTGAAGTTAAATAACAGCGTTTGCCTTCAGATTTCTTATAATGATTCGTTTGGGTATTTGCAGGTTGTATATAAGAAACCTTATGCCTATGCTTCATGCTAGTTGTCACTCATCAACAGTGCGCACCTGTAATATCCTATGAACCAAAACTTCCAGTGGGATTCGGACTTATGCCAATCAGTTTCACAGTTTGAATTATTACGGCTGAGCTATTTCGACGGCTGGTGATCTCCCGTAGGACTGATATATGCAAAAATGATTGATCACTTACACACAAGGTAACAAAAAAATGTAGTGCACTTACATCCAGTTTGATTCTCACGAACGAAGTGGATATATATTATCTAGTAGTACTCGGTTTATAGATCTCAGTGAAAGGCTGTTTCATGAAAAAACCCATGTTAATTTTATAGAACACTTGATGTAGTCCTACTGGTTTGTTCTAAGGACTCCTTCTCTGTCTAAAATATCACATCAAGCTTACCATTATCATAGACGAGTTTTAAAAAATATACCACAGAACTAAAGAGTATAAGTGAAAATTACGACCGTTGACCAGCTCCTACTGATATTTATGATAAAGTTACAGTTTGTATGTTGCACAAGCTGTCAGTTAAGTATTTTAATTTCTACTTATGGAAAAGTATGCCGGTACTTCATATTTAAGAAAAATGAACAATATTTATGATAATTCATGAAGTTTCACGGTAAGTATAGTTATTTCGTTTTTGCTTGAACATATAAACATTGGTACAACGAGGCACCAAATAGATATGCGCCACGTAAATCATTGGATTTTTGTGGGGACTAGGATACTTCCCGGGTGCCCAAACCGAAGCAGGTGGTTCTCTTAGGAGGCCACATCCCGAACCTTTGACCTATGGGTTTAATCCACAAGGCAGTGGAGCAACGTCAGCAGATGCAGTCTAATGGTAGCCGGTGACCAACGGTTGGTTCATACTCCATTTTTTCTCTGAGGATCCTGTAGCCCATGGTTTGGAATGTGAGTTTTCCAACTCGCCTAGGTGAACTCTCCGTGTTCACCATCCCGGTTAAAGCACTAGACATTCACTTTTTGTCCTCTTAATTTCGTAAAAAACACTGGTGCAGCGAGAATGCAGCGAATAGGACTTTCCTGGCAGTGGATGTGTACGCGTGGCCATACGAAAGCATTTCGAGAGGGAAAGCTAACTCTTTCCACTCTCGGTCGTACCAGGGCATTATTTGGCTTAAGTAAGTATAGAGTGGGGAAGGGTTGTAGCTCAGGTGGATGATTTTGACGGAGTTTTGTTCTCTAAGCTGGATGGTTTGTTAGCAGAACTTTCATCGTTCTTCTGAACGACATCATCAGCACAAACTTCAGATAAAAGTGAAGTGTTCGAATTTCTTCATATGTGTGTTCACAGCTTGTCCTGTACACCTCGATGTTGATTGGTTCTTGTTGACCTTAAATTTGTCATTGTTTACTTCTTTGTTTTGGTTGTGTCTCTCATTGGTTTGACTTTTGTTCTTATATTTGTGCATAATTTTCCTGATTGGTTGGTAAATTGGATCGATTTCAATGTACTGAAAGTTCCACAACTAAACCATCCAGCTCAGAGAACAAAACGTCATCAAAATAAGTATAAAGTCCCATACTTTGATTTACATTTTCATAGGTAATAACTACTGTATATCATAATTGTTGGTAAATGTAATTAATAATCATTCGTATTAATGATTGAATAATTGACTTAATTATTTGATCGATTTTATACAAAATTCCATTAGTCAGTTTATAGGAAACTAGTCTACTTAATAACTAGCCTTTGGTGATAAAACAGTAATATTATTATTTTATAAAGAAAATGTCACATTTCAAGTTTAAATATAGTGATTACTTTTTTAAAAGTAGATATTCAACACTCGCTGTTGGTCAGCCTATGCTCCTCCACGAGGAGTAACAGGTGTAAGTAAGTAAGTAATTCAACACTCGAACAAAAAGTTGTCCAGAAATCCTAGACTTCTATTAGTTGTAATGAAAACAAGGATCTTGAATTGGTTTTCACTGTAAATCAATATAAAATGTAATTTTAATCAAAGGAGAAAGAATAGTCGTTTTTATTTGAATTTCATGATTGAAATCATAAAGTTTCTTCAATGGAAATCGATCTAGATTACAATGATTAAATTTTTGTTAATCGGGTATTTATTCAATATAGGCGTTTTCATGCTATTCTGTTGTATAACTAACATAAATATTGAATGTTTAAAGATTGTTTTGAACTCAGCAATGCTATCCGGTATTGGAGATGGTTGGAAGAAAGTTAGGGGCGGCCAAACCAAAACGTGGCATCAGTGCTTGAATTCACTAAGTTCTAGTTTGAGCCATGTTGGTAGGCGCAGACTACTTGGTTGGGGTCCGCGTGACTATCGTAACCAATGGTTGGAGACTCTTGGTGACATGGCTCAGAATCGATCACAATGGCGTCGGTGTATACACTCTCTGTCTTCCCTTAAACTAAGAGATTAAAATCACTTCATATCTTTCTTTCTACGAACCAATTTTTTCTTCTTGTACTATATCTCCATATGCAATCTTTCTCTTATATATTACCACCTTTGACATAACCACTGCTGTGAATCCGGTGTTCATCTTGTTGTGCTGATGCGGTATGGCAACCTGGACCGATGCACATATGTGCCTGGTCCTACGTTATAGCTGACTGACTGACTGTTTTGAACTCAATCTCTATGTATGTAGCCATTTATTATAAACGTTTCTTGTTATATTCAATGCAATTCATATTCAATTGGGGATTCAAATTTGTATGTTTCAACTATTCTAGCTGCAATTTGCACCTAAATAAATGACTAGCATAAAATACTAATTATTCGATAATGGCTGTCTAGCTTCAATTGGCTCATGATATCAACTATTGAAATTACTACAATATCCACAAAAACTCCTTCTGATACTGATCAGCATATGCTAGCTAGTGACTCGCTTCAAGAGGTATCTCCTGGAGTTCTAGTAAGAAGCAGTGACCAGTTGATTTCAACCTGGTCTGTTGTGAGATAGTAACTCACTGAAGACACTGATGGATGTGCCGCTCAATTTCATGGATTAGTTGAAATTAGATATTAACACCGTTGGATACCGGCCGCTTCAGTGGTCCGCATCCGCGCGTGAAACTGATAGATTCTGGATTCAAATCTCGTGAGGCGGAATTGTGGATGCACACTGCTAAGCAGTCGCACAATAAGATGAAACGGCCATCTAGTGCTTCCAGGTTTTCCATAATAGTCTAGCTTCAATTGACTCATGATCTCAACTATTGAAAGTACTATAATATCTACAAAAACCCCTTCTGATATCTGGTAATAATCAGTGTGATTTGCTTGTCATGTTCAATAATAATTTCTGATCATATTGACGACTAAACTATTGCAAGATTAATTAAATGATGTCGATTTATCTATATTTCGATTCTTTCTATATTCATATAATAACTAAATTCACGAACGATTCTTTTTGTTATAATCCAGGTGAACTAATTAGTCGAGCTTGTATACCTGGAATACTAAACAAAGCATATGATCATACTGGAACAAATTCATTAAATCTTTGTGAATTATGCACTGGTGGCAATGCTGACAGATGTCGTCGAGATAATTTAGAGTTGTATTATGGAGATGCTGGTGCATTTAGATGTTTAATAGAAGGTGCAGATATTGCATTTGCACGGCATACAACAGTTCATACAAATACTGGTGGGAGGTTAGTTTTAAACATGTATTCTACATAATAATAATCTTAAAAACAATGCTAATATATCATGAATCATCTAAAATTAAAAATATAGTATACCTATTATCTTCTTACTTACTTACTTACTTACTTTCGCCTGTTACTCCAAATGGAGCATAGGCCGCAGACCAGCATTCTGCAACCTACTCTGTCCTGGGCCTTCTTTTCTAGTTCCATCCAATTCTTGTTCATTTTTCTCATGTCTATTTCCATTTCTCGGCGTAATGTGTTCTTTGGTCTTCCTCTCCTCCTTCTTTGGCCTTGAGGATTCCATTTGAGTGCTTGTCTTGTGACGCAGTTGGGTGCTTTCCTCAATGTGTGTCCTATCCACTTCCAGCACTTCTTCCTGATTTCTTCCTCCACTGGGATCTGGTTTGTTCTTTCCCACAGTAGGTTGTTGTTCCTCCGGGAGCTACTGCCGGTCCCAAGCCCGGATAAAATAGGAAGGTTGGGTATGGGGTTAGCGACCCCACCTCGTAGAAAACTAACTCGCTAAAAAAACGCTAACCAGAAAAACATCTTCTTACTAATCTGAAAATAATTAATCGGTAGTAAAAGTTACTTCAATCCCCGCCATTTTTCAATGAATATCATTTCTTGATGGAAACTATCGTTGAACTGGACAAACCTTCATAAACTCATAGTTTTTATGTATTAATAACTAGAATATATATTGATTTACACTGAATATGATATAAAAAGGAGGCTTATCATTACTAGTTGTGATAGATGTAATGAATAATTCAATGGTTAATTCTTTATACGATAATTTAATGAATACTTAGATTTTTAAGAAATGAAGTAGAAAAGCCTCAAAGTCAATAGACAGAATGGAATTTTCCATAAAAAGCGGAATCCATTGATAAGTGTTTGTAATATTTCATCGTTGATATTCAGGACTATAGTTTATCAGTCTATTGCCAAATATGTATCTGAGTCGATTGTTTAGATCTGATCTTGATGTTACAAGAAATGCACGTCTTGAATTTCAGCTTTACAGATATAAACCGAATAAACTAAATAGTAGATAATTGAAGAACATGTTCGTTGAATAATTTACAAAGAATCTTAAAGGATAACTATTGAAATAATAGTAGATGAAAACAGATGAAATAGAATAAATAAATCATTAAACAACTTCATGAGCAAAGTCATAAATGTTATGTCATTTGTTGAAGATGTATCCTTTTTGAACAGATCAACTGATCCTTGATATAAAGTGAACTAATTATAATTATCTTCTTATTGTTTATTGTCAATACATTTAAGGTTTTTGATCTCATATCCGCTATCAGGACAATGATAAACATCATGTTGTTTATCTATATTCTTTTTAATCTAATATTTCTGACAAATATACTCAGAAAGATGAAGAAGAGTTTCTCTCATTATATATAAAGTGATGAACACAGAGAATGATAAAACTAAACAACACTCACCTTCCCCTCAGGTTGTTCTTCACAAAACTAAAATAATTGTTTCATAAGTTTTCTTTAATGTTTCGTTCAATGTGATATGAAATATCCTATAGATTGTCTCGAAATCCTCTCACACGGTCACGCGTATACAGTCTCTGCCAAGGATTTCCTACTCATTGCCTTCTCGTGGCGGGGGTGTTGTTTACAAAAATGAGAGGACGAAAAGCAAATGTTCGGCCCTTTAACCGGATTCCAAACCAATGGTACACATGGGCTCCAGTATCCTGCGGGAACAAATGGTGTATGAACCAATCATTGGTCACCGGCTACCACCAGACTGCATCTCCTCACGATGCTCCACTGCCTTGTGGGTTAGACCTTTAGGTCAAAGGCTCGGAGTGTGGTCCCCTAAGAGAACCACCTGCTTCGATCTGGGCACTCGGACAGTATCCTAGCCCTCACACAAATCAAATGATTTATGTGGCGCATATCTATTTGGTGCCTCGTTGTACCAATGTTTATGTGTTTAAATAAATAAAAAATATATAGATTGTATCAGTTTTTAAAACAATCTAGTGTATGAGAACTAAATTTTCTCCATAATAATTTACATCACTTCTCACTTCATTCTACCCTATCGATTTTATCAATAAAAATACAAATGGATGCTACACTGATTATTGAATCTCCACTTTTTTGGAAGATACATTGAATTTTTAATCATTATTTTATTTAATTCACTTAGTATTGTTTTACTTGAATCTTCCCATTGATGTTTTTAGGACTTAAATTCATCAATCTCTTATTGGCATATGTGTATACTGTGCGTATGCCTCGATATTGCCCTAATTTACAAGTATTATAAGCAAAGATGGATAGTGGCTATCAGTGGAATCCAGGACGCGCGTTTCGTCCTGTTTGCGACATCAATGGGAAGATTCAAGTAAAACAATACCAAATGAATTAAAGTTCACCCCATTGCACAAGTAAATGGCTATCAGAACTTAGTAGCTAAGTGAATAACGCGATGGCGTGTGAAGCGAACGGTACTGAATTCGAGTCCCTGAGTGAACACCAACTTGGCAATGCAGGTAAATCCAGCTGACGAGTCCCAAACAGAACGAAACGCGTGTCCTGGATTACACTGCTAGCCACTATCCATCTTTGCTTATTATTTTAATTATGTAAACAGTTATTTTTATTATAAAGAATACTATTATGATTTCTAGTTTTTTCACTAGTTGCTATATGATTGACTCTTTTGTGTTATTGTTCTATGATTATATGATTTGTTGGCGTTGATAAGTTATATATATATATATATATATATATATATATATATATATATATTCATCATTATAAGAACGAATAGTAATTCTAATAGTTAAGATCATGAAACAATCGAAGCTAGACAACCATGAAAAACCTGGAATCATTGAACAGCTGTTTCATTCTTCAATTGATTCACGATTTCAACTATTAAAATGACTATTACTTACTTACTTACTTACTTACGCCTGTTACTCCAAATGGAGCATAGGCCGCCGACCAGCATTCTCCAACCCACTCTGTCCTGGGTTTTCTTTTCTAGTTCCATCCAATTCTTGTTCATTTTTCTCATGTCTATTTCCATTTCCCGGTGTAATGTGTTGTTTGGTCTTCTTCTTTTCCCTTGGCCTTGAGGACTCCATGTGAGTTCTTGTCTTGTGACGCAGTTGTGTGCTTTCCTCAATGTGTGTCCTATCCACTTCCAGCACTTCTTCCTGATTTCTTCCTCCGCTGGGATCTGGTTTGTTCTTTCCCACAGTACGTTGTTGCTAATAGTGTCCGGCCAACGGATCTGAAGTATTTTGCGTAGACAACTGTTAATAAACACTTGTATCTTCTGGATGATGGCTTTTGTAGTTCTCCAGGTTTCCGCCTCATACAGTAGAACTGTCTTGACATTTGTATTAAAAATCTTGACCTTGGTGTTGATTGATAGTTGCTTTGAGTTCCAGATGTTCCTCAGTTGTAAATATGCTACTCTTGCTTTGCCGATCCGCGCCTTCACATCTGCATCAGATCCACCCTGTTCATCGATAATGCTGCCCAAATAATTAAAATGACTGTACTATCTACAAAACCCCTTCTGATATTAAAACGAATAGTTTGACAAATAATGGGCTCTGAAATTAGTTCAATGATAATTTTCAGTGATAATGTATATGTCATGTATTTACCCAAATGAGAGAAGATGACACTACATGCTGGCAAAGACACTCATGGAGAAAATATAGTTGTTCTCGAGTGGAAGTCTGCCTTTTAACGAAATGAAAGAAAGTGACACTAGTTAAAGTATTCCACTGAAATAACAATCTTCTCTTTTTCATTCATAGTAAATTGTTGTATTTTCCAAATATTATTTTAATTACCGATCAACATTTTGGAAAATCAAAAAGTAAAAAAAATGTAAAAAAAAAAGAAGAAAAAAAAAACGCCTTGCCAACTGGATTGGTATGTGTATTCAGGAAAAGATCTACTAATCAATATTCAATAGACTAATCAATAAATGAAAATTTTTTTTAAAAAAAAAAACTTTTTTTTTTCTTCGATAAATTCTCTTTTCACATTCTACAATTTAGATATCCAAATTTATAATCTATAAAATTGATTAAGTTTTGGGGCAAAGTGTATCGTTTTAAAGTTATAGAATATGTGAATATAAAATTGTGAAATAAAATTGTTCATGTTAATTGAATTGTTATTGTTGTGAACAAGGAAACAAGAAGCCATTGACAAACTACGAAAGCTACTTTCTTGGGACGTTATTTCATTTTATTCAAAGCTTGTAAAAACGCTGACATTTATTTTTGTTCCTATTCTATTCTACATAACATGAGCTTTCATTCGATGTATCATTCATTGCCATACCCCTTTTTGTTCCGAAACTATTGTAATTTAAACATAATATTTTACACCTTATTTCCTACTTTGATTCCCAGTTTGGGACATGACTGTATTTTTCCTAATTATGGTACGACGTTGTGGTCGGGTTAGTCACCTATTTATTCATGTACCTTTTTGCATTAATCTGAATTCAGAGATTTCACAGGAAATCAGGATATCGCAATACGCCCAATTGTGTTCCAACTGTCTTGTCTTCTCTTATTTGTGTGCTTGTCACCAATCACGTGCTAGAATAGTTTTCTTCTCAATACTCCACCTCGAACTCACGCGTACCAGCCTCAAGGTTAAACCGGCCAGCCTATTACGTCAAGGTCTTAATCTAGAGTAGACAGATCAAGGTCATAACAGTATTATTATTTCTTTATCACTCTATCTGATCTATATTAATTAAGATCATGGATCTTAAATGATCATTTAACATATAGGTAGATTCAAGTTGTTAACATTCTATGTAATTCATATCATCTTGACAATCCTACAGTTCACATGCTTTAACTTGAAACAATGCTCTTTACCCTTAACCTGTCCATTTTTTGGATTATTAATTTAAATATATGAATTGTTGAACCTGAAGAGAATTTATGGGAAAGAATATTCTTCACTTGGTATTGTTTGGCTTGTATCTTCCTATTGAGTTTTAAAACTGCAATTGATCAGTCTGTTATTGGCATATATGCATACTGTGCGTATGCCTCGATATGACCTTAATTCACAAGCTATTTGTAAGCAATGATGGATAGTGGCGTTTGAAGCGAATGGTACTGGGTTCGAATACCAGAGTGAACATCAACTCTGAGATGCAGGTACATCCGGCTGACGGGTCCCAAATAGGACGAAACGCACGTCCTGGATTCCACTGCTAGCTACTATCCATCATTAAGAATGTTCTTCATTCAAATATTGAACTTTTCATTTGATAGGGATCTTTAAATATTCATTATTAACAAATGGTTATAATGAAACATGACGGTAGTAAAACGACGTTTAATCACTTAACTGAAGTTTTGGTTAATCAATATTTAAAATGATATAATTTTAAACTCATTTGGTGTTGTTCGCTTGCATCTTCCGATTGTTGTTTAGGACTGCGATTGATCAGTGTCTTATTGCCATATGTGCATCATGTGCGTATTACCTCGATATTACCTTCAGTCACAAGCATTCTAAGCAAAAATGGATAGTGGTTAGCGATGGAATCCAATTTGACGCGCGTTTCGTCCTATTCGGGACTTGTCAGCTGGATGCACCTGCATCTCAAAGTTAACGTTCCCTCTGGGACTCGAACCCAGTACCGTTCAATTCAAGCGCCATCGCGTCATCCACTTAGCTACTGAGTCCTATAATTTTGATTTCTTGCTCTCTATGAACTGATGTTTGACCGAAATTTATATGGTTGATCTACAATAAACAGAACGTAAGTATGAATTCCACACCACGACATAACATTCCAGGTATGTAGATAATAGTGTTATTATTAGTGATGGTGAATCGTACTTCTCGTTTGTTCTACACTTTCATTAATCCTCATCCAAACACAAACTCTACAAATAAACATGAACAAGACAGTCAATCGGTTTTTCTAGATCTTAGTGTAAGATAAAGAAACGGTGAGACTACGGAAAAAATCGTATATAAGAAAGAAATGTGAACGGGGCAATACTTAAATGGCAACAGCTTTTTTCCTGAAAGTTATAAATGATGTCCAGTCAAAACACTTTAACCGAACTAAAATTCTAGGCTCAAACAACAGAATAAGTGACAAACTTGCAATTATCGAAGAGAGCCCTATAAGAAAATAGATGTCCAAAGAAATTTATTGGAAAATATGTAAAGAAGTGCCCTAAATGTCGTAAACAACTGATATGGTAAAAAGCCTTTCCTCATCCGTCTTCCATTCAAAGATAAAATTTCAGGAAAGATTAATGAACAAATAAGAGTGACGAGAGAATGAAGCTTACCTCCAAATCAATTGGTTTGACTATATAACATCAGATTTACATTGAGCTATTTAATACATTTCTAACGCCACCAACTGTATATCTGAATTAACATACACCTGTGGTAGCAGGTATATAGACACCTGATGGATAGTGTACATAAGGTCAATACCAGTTATGCATTCAAAGTAATTAACAAACAATTAAAATCTATTTTACTACGTTTCACAGATGCAGTTGCTATGACATACTTCCGATTCAACTTATGTTTCCAGAAAGGTTACATGATAAAACTTAAGGGGAATTTTTGTTTTTTAAACTGGATGGTTTACTGGTAGAGCTCTCATTGTTCTTCTGAATAAAATCATCAGAGAAACCTTCATCTAGGAGTGAAATGTTCGAATTTCTCCACATATAACCAAGCTTATCCTGTCGGCATCGATCTTGACTGGTTTTTATTGAATTTTAACCTGCTTATTTTGATTGCATATCTCTCTCTCTCTCTCTGACTTGATTCTTGGTCCTATGTTTGTCCATGATTTTTTCTGATTGATTGATACATTGGATCGATTTCGATGTGTATGCTGATTGATGAATCATCTGAATGCCAAGCTTCTAAAACTCCTTTTGCACTTTTAGTATTCCATTTATCCAAGATCTCAACATTTTCCCAATCAAATATGTGTCCTCAGTTGTCCACATACATTGATACAAGCGAAGATATGTCTTGGCATTTACCACTAATTAGTGTTCGTTTAGGTAAAGATGAAGGGGGGGAGGTCTAATTTGTCCTATGTCATCACCTTTTTATTACATTTAATCACTGATAACAAAACTATCACCTTTCTATTCCGTGTTATTATTATTACTGTTATTATTCATATATTGAACATGTAACTGAGTATAAATATCAATTATGCAAAGTCACAGATTTCGTATTTTGTTCTTCTTAGGATTTTTGGTATTGTCTCGGAAAACGTTCATCAGCCTTGGTGACTTAATTATGCTAAGCTTTAGCGTTATGACTTTAGGTTGCTGTCGATTTTTACCCTGTGCTAATTGTTGTGTCCTTGACTGGAAAATTAGAGAGCAGCGTACTTATCGATCGACTACAGTAACACGTAAACACGTACGGACGACCTAGTGCCCTGATTGGCCCTGCTTCGCTGTCTGTCCCAGCCAGTTGAGTCAAGAACACAAGTCACAGCCTCTGAGATATGAATCATTATATTTCAAACATACTTTGTTTATATACTAACCAAGCATACCACATCGTACCATAAAATAGAAAACAACATTTTGTACAATATACAACAAGTGAACAGATATCGACCAATAGGAAATGTCCATTTAAAGTCCAAGGACACCATTGGACTTAACATGATAATTATTGGTCTATTCCTAGGCATCCACAACATTTAGTTTATATCAGCATATTTTACTTTCTGTAATTTCAGGTTGTTTTAAACTAATGAGAGGCGTTATCAAGTAGAATAAAATTTATTTTGAATCAGTAAAATTTATTGTTCTTGTATTGGTTGTATAAAACTGATGTTGATTTTAATTCTTACATTATAGAAATCCAAATTTTTGGGCTCGTGATTTACGTGAAGATAATTATGAAATATTATGTCCTGATGGACGACGTGCTGAAGTTCATGACTGGATCACTTGTAATCTTGGTAAAATTTCTAGTAATGTTGTAGTTACTGCAAATTATAAATCTGAAAATGAAAGAACTAATATGTGGCGTTTATTACAATATGGTCAAGAGTATTATTCATCTGATAGGTATGTGATAATTCATATGATTCAATCATATTTTCATTGTAACTTTCATAGTTTATATAATTTAAGTAATAAGAAACTCAGTAATTATGTTGCTTGTCTTTTAGGCATGTGAATTTTGTGCATAACTAAAAAGATTGAGTGATATTGTATTGTAATGAACAAGAACATAAATGGGGACAATTGAATGTATATAAACACAAAATGACAGAATACCTTAGGTAAAATCTGAGAATCATACAGTAAATGCTTCATTTGCAAAATGTCAATCAATCGTTTCAAACTTCACTGTTCCTTCACTTCCAAACCGATCATTCTCTGTTCTCGTTCTATTTTCTTCGACCATAATTTTTGTGCCGCCAGTCATTTCACTTTCGATTGATGATACATACTAATTATATCTGTCAACATCAGTAGCACACACCATAGTATGATGTTAATTTTTACATCTTACTAAAAATTACGTATACTTATTACAACCGGAATGATTAATTCGTCTTTTTATAAATTGTAATAAGAAACTAGTTGAAAATGAAGAAACAATTAAGTAGATGTTTCATATAAGTTGTACATTATTCATCGGCACCAGTGAACTTTTGAAAATAATGCGCGTCATTAACTGACATCGATTAAATATCCATTGAATATCGTAGTGAACTGTGAGATGTTCTGTCTCAGATTTTGACTAGTCAGAAGTGCATACTAACGGCACAGTTGTGGATCGAAATGAGGAACTTCAGGTTTTCTAGGGAGTATATTATTCTCAAACTATTAAGTCAAAAGTTATATTTTAGTACACTTTTACTCCAGCAATTTATTCATTGTGAAATATAAATTTCTTACGTTTTATTTTGAACTAAACATCAGGGTCTGGTATTATTAAAGGTATACTATAAGTCAGTCAGTCAGTCAGCTATAACGTAGGACCAGGCACATATGTGCATCGGTCCAGGTTGCCATACCGCATCAGCACAACGAGATGAACACCGGATTCATAGCAGTGGTTAGGTCAAAGGTGGTAATATATAAGAGAAAGATTGCATATGGAGATATAGTACAAGAAGAAAAAATTGGTTCGTAGAAAGAAAGATATGAAGTGATTTTAATCTCTTAGTTTAAGGGAAGACAGAGAGTGTATACACCGACGCCATTGTGATCGATTCTGAGCCATATCACCCACAGTCTCCAACCATTGGTTACGATAGTCACGCGGACCCCAACCAAGTAGTCTGCATCTACCAACATGGCTAAGACTAGAAGTTAGTGACTCCAAGCACTGATGCCACGTTTTGGTTTGGCCGCCCCTAACTTTCTTCCAACCATCCCCTACACCGGTTAGCATTGCACGTCGTGGTAGTCGGTGTTCAGGCATACGTAACACGTGGCCCAACCATCTCAGTCGATGAAGATTCATAACCTCATCAACTGATTTACCATCATTACCTAATACCCTGCGTCTAACCTCACTATTACTTACCCGGTGATCCCAGCAGATGCCAGCAACATATCTAAGGCATCTGTGGTCAAATACTAATAGTTTACGAGTGTCTTCTACTCTTAATGGCCATGTTTCGCTGTCGTAAAGTAAAACAGAACGGACTACCGCGCAGTATACCCGTCCTTTTATTGATAGACGGATATCTCGCCTTCGCCAAAGGTGACGCAAGTTGGCAAAAGCCAAGCGAGCTTTTCGAATCCGTGCTGAGATTTCGTCAGATACCAACCCAGTGAGGCGCAAGCAGATGCGTGCCCGTATTAGGGCGTGGTCGGAGTCCAAGCACGTACTCCAGAATGAGCGACAATCTTCTACCGACCCTCTCCAACGGTGACTGATGGCAATATAGTCTATTTGAGTCCATCGTTGGTTTGGTGTATGGGGTCGCCATGTTAGACGATGTCTCTCCTTATGCTTAAAATTTGTGTTTGCTAAAAATAAGCGATTGTCTGAACACAGTTGCAGCAGACGGTCACCAAAGGTATACTATTCTCTGGATGATTTGGTCCTAAAGCTGTCATTGACTTTATAGTCAGTATCATCACTACATATTAAAAATGTAGTTAACCATTAAAAGTTTTCCAAAAGTTCTTATCAGCTTGTTCTGTTGAAATAAAATTTGGTCATTGTCCATATTTGGGCTGTCATCGTCTACACATTCATTTCGTTTGAATTCTCTTGTGACCTGATGTCTGACATTGGAATGATTTTGCATTTTTCTTATAGATTGAATTTGTTTAGATATATATTGGTTAGTTAGTGAAATAAATGCTTAATTTCTATAAACTTTCTAGCTTCCTTACGTTTATTTTTTTCGTTTATGTAAACACTTAAACATTGATATACGGAGGCACCGAATAGATATGCGCCACGTAAATCGTTTCATTTGTGTGAGGGCTAGGATACTTCCCAGGTGCCCAAACCGAAGCAGGTGATTTTCTTAGGGGATCACAATCCAAACCTTCGACCTAAAGGTCTAATCCACAAGAGGACCAACAATTGATTTCTACGCCATTTGTTCCTTCAGGATCCTGGAGCCATTGTGCAACATTGGTTTGGAATCTGGGTTTTCCAACTGCCCTGGCTGAACTCTCCATGTTCACTAACCCGTTTAAAGCACCGGACATTCACTTTTTGTCCTCTCAATTTCGTAAACAACACCCGTGTTGCGAGAATGCAGTGAGTAGAACTTCCCTGTTGGTGATTGTATGCACGTGATCATGTGAGAGTATGTCGAGAGGGAGAGTTGACTTTCCCCCACTCTCGGTTGTGCCGTAGTCTAATATTTTAACGTTTTCCCCCATTGGCATTTTATTTTTTGAGTCACTACAAATTCATGTAGTGTTTGAATAAACAACATCTTCGTAAAGAAAACTGGCTTCAGTGAACAACAGTAATAATAATAATAATCAATACCTTGTACTTTTCTTTCTTCATTTCATGAAATAGTGATCCAGTTTTTCAAATGTTCAATTCTGAATTTGGTCAAAAAGATTTAATATTTAATGATGATACAGAGAGTTTAAGTTTAATTCCATGGGAAAATCAAACATATGAAGCTTGGCTTGGTCAACGATTTATACAAATGGTTGAAAATTTACAAGTCATATCAAATCGTTATGAAAATGGTTTATATAATAGTGGTATACTTAAAATAGACCAATCTATAACTCATTATACCATTAAATGGATATTAACAATGATCATTTGTGTTTATCATTGTTTGATCTGTTTATAGATAGAGATCTGATCATGAAATTCTTTGTCAAAGTGTATATTGTATATTTATTAGGTACTTTCTAATTATAAATATGAAATATTTCCATTGTATAAGGGTTGTTAATTATCTTTTTTGTTTTCTTTCAAAAAAAGACATTAGAATACACCTTGTTGAATACTTTCACAATTGACAATCTGTGTATCACTACTGAATAAAGTCTGTTTTAGTGTAATACATAGATTACTATACTTACATAGTCTTTATTATGTGTTGACAAGTGATGTAGATAATTTTCTGAATGTATCTTAATTGATGATGATAAGTTCTGTGGTTCAATGATCTGACAAGACAGTTTAAATTGACGAACAAAACAAGACTAACTAGGGGATTATATAGATTTATAGGTCGACAAATCAACCTCAACTTGGGCACATAGGTGATGATCCTGTTTAAAAGAATAATTCAGTTACTCCTTAGAGCTCACCAACGTTTATATTACCTTGAATCATCTTATGGTTTGTATAATAAGACCAGTTAATCACGAGTGTATTTGATATTGATGGTCAGTGGGTAGAAAGCATGTACCTAGGCAGCATAATCGATAAACAAGAAGAATCTACTGTTAATGTAAAGGCATGAATTGACCAAGCAAGGGCAGCATTACATAAACTGAAGAATATCTGGAACTTTAAAGAACTATCCATCAAGTGCATAGTCATAATTCTCAACACACACGTCAAGACGGTCCTGTTGTGCGAAGCTGAAACGTGGAGAACTACTACAACGATCATCAAAAAAGTACAGGTATTTATGAACAGACGACCACTAGACTGTTTGGTACCTGTGTGGTTGCGCTACAAGATTGAGCTGTACTATTCTGATTATAGCGTTAAAGCCTCTATGGTGTCTGGTTCTCCTGGAAACGGGATTGAGCTGTACTGTTTTGGTTGTCACGTGAATGTCTGGATGGTGTCCGTTTCTCTCGAAAACTAATGTAAATTTACCCTGGCCCACAAGGGTATATTATATAACTGTCTACACAGGATAATTTTAATCGCTTGACCAAAAATTATCAGATATAATCGACTGTGACATAGGACAAACTAGCCACTAGCTGAAGAGGAAACTAGAAAAAGACGCTACATATGGGTAGGACAAACTTTTCAGAAACGATCAAACTGCATCAAAAGTCAAATCCTAGATTGGAATACTTAAAACTAAAAGAGAATGGTTAGACCGAAAAACAAATGAGGGTGTGAATTGTAGGCGAACGTCACGACCATGGGAAGCACGTAGCAACAACTGGAAAGGAAGGCCCATTAATTGGTTTCATATCCATTGTTAGCATCCTGTACCCTCATGAGAAGTAACAGGCTTATGTTCGTAAGTAAGTGTAACACGTTTAGTCGATCAAACACAACGTAGAACCTGGTACGTGTGTATATCAGTTCAAGTCACCACATACCAATAACTCAACAAGATAAATTTGTTAAGAAGAATCCCAGAATAGTAGAGATAATAACAGTATTAGTTGTATTAAAGAGTGAGCATTTAAGATACGACTTAATAAAATATAAATCAGTGAAATGAAAAAAATAATATGGAATTCACAAGCCTGTTACTTCTCATGAAGGTGCATAGGCCGCCCACCAGCATTCTCCATCAAACCCTGTCCTGGGAAATCCTTTCCAGTTGTTATTCATCCTTTTCATATCTCATTCTATTTCCCGACGTAATGTGTTTTTTGGCCTTCCGTTCAGTATTCCAAGTTAGGGCTTGCCTCGTGATGCAGTTTGATGATTTCCATAATGTATATCCTATCCATCTCCATCGTTTTTTTCCTAATTTCCTCTTCAGCCGGAAGCTGATTTGTTCTCTCCCATAGTAGGCTGTTGCTGACGGTATCCGGTCAATGGATGTTGAGTATCTTGCGTAGACAGCTATTTATAAATACTTATACCTTCTCGATGGTGGTTGTTGTAGTTCTCCAAGTTTCTGCTCCATACAGTAGAACTGCCTTGACGTTCGTATTGAAGATTCTCAATTTCATATTGGTTGAAAGTTGTTTTGAGTTCCATGTGTTCTTGAATTGTAGGAATGTGACCCTTGCTTTGCCAATCCTCGCCTTTACGTCTGCATCTGATCCTCTTTGTTCATCGATGTTGCTTCCCAGGTATGTGAAGGATTCTACATCTTCCAGAGTTTCGCCATCAAGAGTGATTTGATTGCTATTCTCCGTGTTGAATTTGAGGACCTTGGTTTTCCCCTTGTGTATGCTGAGGCCTACTGATGCAGAGACTGCTGCTACAAATGGCTGTCTTTATCTGCATTTGTTCATGTGTATGCGATAGGAGGGTTAAGTGATCTGCGGAGTGCAAATCGTCTAATTGGTTCTCAGCTATCCATTGTATGCCGTGTTTTCCCTCAGATGTAGAGGTCTTCCTAATCCAGACAACTGACAGAAGAAAAGGGGAGGGGGAGACTAGATAGCCACGTCTGACTGCGGTCCTTTCTTGGAACGCATCTGTCAGCTGTCCTCCATGCAAGACTTTGCACCGTAGTCCGTCGTCTGAGTTCTGGATAACGTTAACAATCTTCTCAGGAACTCCGTAGTGTCAAAGAAGTTTCCATAACGTTCTCCTATCTACGCTGTCAAATGCCTTTTCATAACCAATGAATTTGATGTACAGTGATGAGTTCCATTCAACTGATTGTTCGACGATGATCCGTAGTGTCGCAATTCGGTCTATTCACGACCGATCCTTACTGAATCCAGCCTGTTGATCTCGAAGTTGAGTGTCTACTCCGTCTGTCATCCGGTTCAGTAACGCTCTGTTGAAAACTTTCCCTGGTATTGAATGTAGTGTGATGCCTCTGTAGTTTTCACATCTGCTCAGATCTCCTTTCTTTTGAATCTTGATGAGGTGTCCTTCTTTCCAATCTATCGGCACTTGTTATTCCTCCCAAATCTTGAATAGAAGGTGATGCATGCTTGTAGTTACTTTGATGTCTGACTTCAGTGCTTCAGCTGGTATCTCGTCAGGTCCTGCTGCTTTCCCTCTCTTGATTTGTCTGATGGCCATTCTGATTTCCTCCGTCGTTGGTGGATTGACATCTATAGGAAGATCTGTGTGTGCTGCTTCGATGTCCGGTGGATTCGTTGAAGCCGGCCTATTCAGGAGTTCCTCGAAATACTCTACCCATCTGTTCCGCTGTTGTTCAATTTCAGTGATTGGCCTGCCTTCCTTGTCTGTGACCGGTCTCTCTGGTTTACTGTATTACCCTGCTAGTTTCTTCGTAGTATCGTAAAGTTGTTTCATATTTCCTTCTCTTGCAGCTTTTTCCGCCGTCGTTGCTAGTTCTTCCACGTATTTCTTCTTGTCGGCTCTAATGCTCCTCTTCACTTGGTTGTTTGTTTCTATGTATTCAGCTTGTGCTTGGACTTTCTCTGCTCGTGTTCGGCTGTTGTTAATTTCTGTATTCATGTTCTTCCTTTCTTTGATCTTGTCCAGTGTTTCTGTAGAGATCCATTCCTTATGATGGTATTTTTTTTAGACCCAGAACCTCTTGACACGTTGAAGTTAATGCTTCCTTGATGCCTTTCCAGTTGTCCTCCATACTAGTTTCTTTTTCTTTCAGTAGATCTTGTAAGGCTTGGAACCTGTTGTTGAGAGCTATCTTGAATTCATTGAGTTTGTCAGTATCTCGAAGGAAGGCTGTATTGAACCTTTGTATTGCTGTTTGTCCACTTGTCCAGTTCTTTTTTAGCTTCAGTTTTAAATTGGCTACAACTAGGTGGTGATCTGAAGCTACGTCAGCACCTCTCCTGGTTCTCACATCTTCCATTGTCCTTCGGAATTTTTTGTTAATGCAAATATGATCTATTTGGTTCTCTGTAGTGTGGTCCGGTGAGATCCATGTAGCCTTGTGTATACGCTTGTGTGGAAATATTGTGCCTCCTATGACCAATTTGTTGAATGTACATAGATTTGCAAATCTTTCTCCATTTTCGTTTCTTTCTCCCAGTCCACGTCGTCCCATAATATCTTCATATCCAGTGTTGTCTATTCCGACTTTGTCATTTAGATCTCCCATCAGAATAGTTAGGTCGTTTCTTGGGCACTTCCCTATGATTGACTGCAGCCGCTCGTAGAATTGATCTTTAATGTCGTCGTTTTTATCATTGGTGGGTGCATAACATTGGATAATATTCATTGTGATTCCCTCCTTCTTTGTTTTGAATGATGCTTCGATGATTCTGGACCCGTGAGATTCCCATCCTACAAGTGCATTTCGTGCTACTTTGGACAGCATTAGAGAAACTGCCTGAGTGTGTGGAGCATTTTCCTCTTCGTGACTGGCGTATAGCAGCATCTCTTCCGTATTTAGCCGTTGTTGTCCAGCTTGGATCCAATGGGTTTCGCTGATTACAAGTACTGCCAAATTGTATCTCCTCATTTCTGTTGCTATTTGACTGGTCTTCCCAGCCTCCCACATCGTCTGGACGTTCCATGTACCTATAAAAATTGTTGCTCTGTTTGTTAGAAGGGTCATCAGCCTCGTGACTTCCGACGGAACTCGGCTTTCACCATGAGGCATCATAGTTCTTTTAAATGAAGACCTTCTAACTTTCAGGGCAGAGTTTAAATGGTTCGATTTTTTTTTCTGGTTACTGTTTTTTCGCGAGTTAGTTTTCTACGGGATAGGGTCGCTAACCCTATGTCCAACCTTCCTCCTTTACCTGGGACCGGTAGTAACTGTAGAAGGGCTACAGGCGGAGTGCACATACACACAATATTTTGTTGACATTCAGATATACAATATCTGTGGCATTCAAATAATTAATTGTATATGTACAAGAGAGTAGAGGATTTTATTATTAGTGTTGACAAAATATGGTTACATGAAAAAGGATATCAAATGAAAGTTGTATAGTTCTCGTTTCAATTTTTCCTTTGGTTAAGCTATTTAACTGGAAGCGTTATACATAATATCTTAGTAAAATTCCATAATTATGGGCTAATAAAATCACATTTTATAAGTTTATTAAACAATAACAATGACTTAAAATGTTAACTATGATGATTAGTGTGAAAACAACACTTGATCAAACTTTAACACAACTTTCAATCTAAATATTTTGAATAAATATATTCTAGAAAAACATGTTGTCTACAAGGTGATAAATTGTACTGATTGGAACTTCTGTAAGAATTACGTTTATTGAAATTTACTTACTTACTTACGCCTGTTACTCCTAATGGAGCATAGGCCGCCGACCAGCATTCTGCAACCCACTCTGTCCTGGGCCTTCCTTTCTAATTCGATCCAATTCTTGTTCATTTTTCTCCATTTCCCGACGTAATGTGTTCTTTGGTCTTCCTCTTTTCCTTTGACCTTGAGGGTTCCATGTGAGGGCTTGTCTTGTGACGCAGTTGTGTGCTTTCCTCAATGTGTGTCCTATCCACCTCCAGTGCTTCTTCCTGATTTCTTCCTCCACTGTGATCTGGTTTGTTCTCTCTCACAGTTGGTTTATTGAAATCCTTCAGTGTAATGCAGTCTGTGAATCACATATGTATGTAATGAGTTATTTTCTAATAACAATGGGTATAAATGGTTGACTAAATATTCAATGTCATTGACACCGGCTTCGTATAGAACACAGCTTATACACAATAAAACATGAATTTAATTGTGTTATTTTGAAAAAGCACAACTCTTTGTCAAATAAACTAACGTTAGTCAAGTCAATAAGAATGTATTACGCAAGAGAAAAAGTCATGAGATCATATCAACAAATCTGTTGTCATTATTCAATATAACTCAATATAAACAGTTTAACACTAGTAAGGTCAACATGTGACTATTAGTATTCTCAGCTAATAGTCTATTGTACATCAGAATGTACACGAACTATATGTATTTCCATCATCTTTCAAATCAAATTATTACACTAATAACAGAATTCAATTAGATGATAAACACTACAAACAGAAAGATACGAAATGCTTATAGAATACAAATGAACTAATTTATGAATTGTAATTACCAAATGCAGTGTATTCCTGTCATAGAATGGGAACTGATTAACTCAGTGTTTTAAAACATATTGAATAGATTGTTCACCTATTACTACAATATAATTTCTTGTAGGCATCAAATGGATATGTTTTTAACTATTGAAATACATTACTGATTAGAACAACACATTACTGATTGTTTGAAAATTTCTATCATTATTTAAAAACATATTCGAACGAAAAACATACTTTCCAATAAATTCTACTGAGGTCCTGTGGTTTTAGAAATTGAGAACAATTAAGTCTTTAAAATCTCAGAGAGAAACTGAATTTAAACTCAATTATCTGTAGGTAGTGTTCTCCAGGAAACTTAGGTAATCTAAAAAGTTGTTGGTAGAACCTGCTGAGCAGTTCGAAGTCACGATAAAGTAGTAATCCATTTCTGCCGAAGATTTTAAGGCTTCACTAGTTAGAGCCATTTTATGAAGAATTTCTTCATGACTTGAAAACAGTATGTCACAATGCACTTTCCGTCAAAGCTGGAGATTTATGGTTTGAGTGAACATCGATGTCCATCTAAAAATATTAGTCAAAAGTACACAGAAAAACCAATAAACGTCTGATACCTGACCCCCTCAGTAAATGACAAGTCACCAAGCACTACACATGTATCTGGAACACACAAGCCCCCAAATGCCCTGGTATGGCCGAGAGTGGGGTGGGCACCACTCGGGCAGTATCACAGCCAACACACACACACACAAATATGCTGTGGCGCATATATATTTAGTGCCCTCTTGTACCAATATTTACGTGTTGAAATAAATAATAATAAATAAAAGTCTACCGACGGTCATGTTACCGTTCACTGAATAGGTCATAATCCTAGTCAGTTCCGTCCCATTCGGGGTACTACGTGGACAAAATGTTTGTTGGTTTGGGTTAGAGGAAGGCAAAATATCAAACCAATATGACATGTTAGTTCGTGAAGTTATTGACTGTTGATCTAATCTCTGCTATTAAGTACAAACTGCCAGTGGTATTAAAAAAACCAGCCATCAAATATGAACATTGGTATAGGTTATTGAAAGTCCTCCTAGTTGAATTTTACAAGAAATAACAAGCAGTCTGTTAGATATTTTCATTGATTGGTTAAAAAACGTCAATAGTGAAGCTGAAGCATCTAAACTTCAAACACGTGGTATTTCGGGCATCTCATATCTATATGAATTCCATAGCAAGCCTCCTAGTTTAATGTAACTAATTTTATTGTTAACTTCATTGTTCTGGACTCTCTATTCATTCTGATACTAGATATAGTGCCGAATAAACTGATCGTAATTATTCAACATCAACATTAGACCAAGTCTCCTGTTCTTGTCTAATGAAAGGACTACAGTTTAAAACCTAGATGCTTCAGGTTCAAGTTGGATTATCCTATTGCACTGCAATCGTTATCATTGAAGGTGAGGGCCGATCTCAAATAGGAGTGAGATTTAAGAAATCAAGATAAATCCCAGGTATCTAGAAATTTTGAAGCACTTTCACAATTGACTAAGCCTAAATTCTGTAAATTTCCCCAGTCAAATGACGGCATTTACAAAACTAAGAGATGATACTTATAATGTCCTCCAACTGCTAGCGTACGTTTATGAGGTCGACCCCTCCCCAATCACGAAACGTTATTAAGTTGACGAATATCTCAACCCGTAATGATTGTTGTGAACAGGGAAATAAGAAGCCCAGACAACTACGAAAGCTATTTTCTTGGGACGTTATTTCATTTCTTTCAAACCTTGTGAAACACTTATATTTATTTTTGTCCCTATTTTATTCTACAGAACATGAGCTTTCGTTCTATGTAACATTCACTGCCACGCCCTTTTTTGTTCCGAAAATATTGTAATTTAAACATAATATTTTACACCTTATTTTCTACCCTAATTCCCAGTTTCGGGCATAATTGTATTTTTCCAAATTATCGTACGTTGTGGTCAGGATATTCACTTATTTATTCATGTACATTTTTGTACTAATCCGAATTCAGAGTGTTCCAACTGTCTTGTTCTTCTCTCACTTGCGTGCTTGCCAACCAATCAGCTTCTAGAATAGTTCTCTCTCTACCCCATCCCGAACTCACACGTACTAGACTCAAGGTTAAGCCACTCAGCCCATCGCGCCACAATCATAATCTAGACTAGACAGATCAAGGTCAAGTCATAACAAAGTATCGACGGGGTAAAAGCGATTCAAGGTCATGGCAATGATAAAACAACTAAGGATCTTTGCGAAATTTGAGAATGAGGTTTTGCTATGTATACAGCTAAAGCAATTGGTAAGACATAGATTCAAGTACATAAATTCCTTCCATAAAAGTATAAGTCTACAGAACAGCTCACTTTCTTCGTTACTTCAATTTCATAGTTGATTTCGCACTGGAAACAATGATATAACAAATTATTGAAAGTAAGCTATGAAATCATATGAGAAAAATCAATGGATTAGGCTACCTCATAAGAATGGCTAGGAATGCGGCAGTAAAACAATAGTTAAATTTATCAATGAACACTTTCACAATAAAATAATGTGTCATCGATTCTTTAAAACCTAAGCGGGGAAAAGTGTAACAGTAATAATTATTGTAATAATAATAAAATGTATTTTACTAATTAATGCAAAAATTGATAAGATATACGTATATAATAAATTTACGATGAGAATAACATTTCCACAGGAGAGAATAACACTATTAATCTCACACAGAAAAACAGAGAAAAGTGAGACTAAATCACAATGTTTATAAACAAATGAGATCAATGTGAAACAAGCACCTTGACCATAGCAGAGAAGAAAAAATAGTGAAGTGTTCAACGCTGGAAATTGAGTAAAGCACGAAAATTGAACTACTCTGCACAAGGATCAAACAACGCAAAAAATGTGAAAAAATTAAGCAAGAAGCACAAATTAAAGGAAGGTAACAAATTTAAACTAATCAGCAACTAGATACCCAACGGAAGAAGATAACTTGAATGTTTGTTGTTGGGGTTTTTTTTTGAACCAAAATAATTCTAATTAGGAAACAAAGAACAAAAATGCTTTAGATTTATTTTTAGGTCATCCATAAAATATTGAAAAGCACAAAAAGTAATTAATAGGTTCCTATTTTTTTTTATTACTTTTATGTAAGATAAATGATTTGAAAAAAGAGGAAAGATATGTAGAAAAGGAAAATTATAAAGAACATGGAGTTCAGGATAAGGGGAATTTTAATACACAGGAGGATGCTATTGATAGGTCATTTAGAAATGTGCTTTTTTTTTAATAATTTATGATTGCCTTGGACGTTTACGAGCCCAACATCGAAGAGGGAGTTGTTGTGAAGCTAAACTTCGAAAGCACTCATTTAGTAGACGTGGACGATGTCGAACCAGCTGTTCATAGCCTTCAGTTTCGCACACATCATGAGCATGGCTGGGAAAATAAGAGACACTTCATTAGTTCTTTCGTTAAAAAAAAAGATAAAGTGATTAGCTTAAAAGAAGCTTTTCACAAGTAAACACGGTTTGCATCTTTCCTAGATCGTTCGTTACAAAACATCCAAGGAGGAAATCGAACCAGAGACATTAACAAATGTAGTCATTACTACCACTTTAATTTCCTAACATAAACAGTAGTTAAATGGAGCTTATCTTGAAAGGTCACCATTGAAAAATTTCGTGCTTCTTACCCATACTCATTGAATCCGAAAAATGTACATAAATGTAAGGGAGCTTTTATCAACTTATTATTCATAATAAAATACGTTACTTCCATTGAAGAGAAAATGGAGTGACACCATTAATGATGGTAGATTCATTGGATATTTATTAACTTTCGGATATTATTGTAAGTTACAATGGGTTACGTTGTCTGTAAATTATAATCATATTTAAATTATCTCTGTTGGGAAGATCCAGAAAACCCCTCGAAAAAAAGCTCTGGAAACGCTGAGAAACATCTTATCCAATCAGCATTCAATAGAATTTTTACCAGAAACATCTAGAAAGTCAAAAGTCACATATTGCGTTTCTGATTGGATGATTATCCATACTGCTATTATGCTTAGTAGCGTTCAAAAAATTCCCGAAAGGCCAAAGCCAAATGAAATACTATAAATATCCTAGATTTTCAGTATACAAACGAACCTTAAAGTAAAGCGTTTCTTCCATATTTCGCGCCTTTTCTCTTATGTTCAAGTAGCTGTATAGATTTAACCTGGGGGTTACTAGAGAGCTTAAGAAACCGAATCTAGCGTTCAATTAGAAGAATTATCACTCCCATGTCTTGTTTGTGTTATTTTACTAAAAAGATAGATTTAACATATGTGCTGCCTACTTAGTTGTGTTGTCTTTTGATGATACTACACACAACGTCGAACCGGGCATATTTGCACCAAGTTGTCATACAACATTAGCACAGTGAGATAAAATTACCTCAGGACGAATTCCAGAGTAGAAGTAGTGACAGTATCAAATTAAGTAGGAAGAATTAAGTATAGAAAAAGAAAAGGTGTAAGATTTCGGGACTTCTGTTCTCGAGGAAGATAAAGAGTATATGTAGCTGCGCCATTACGAACCATTATTAGCAGTATCACCCAAACTCTCTAACAATTGATCACGATAATCACGCAAACTTCAATCAAGTAGTCTAACCTATTACCATGTTCAGTCCGCTTATCGATGACTTCGAAGACTAGTACTTCCAAATCCCTTGATATGATCGAGGGTGGAGAGAGTCCCTTCTCCTCGAAATGCTCTCACATGGACTCGCGTACACAGCCATTACCGAAGAAGTCCTACCCATTGCCTTCTCTCGGCGAGGATGTTCTTTACGAAATTGAAAGGATGAAAAGCGAATGCCCGGTGCTTTAACCGGGTTGGTAGGTACGGAGGATTATTATTTATTATTAATTAATTAATTAATTAATTTGAACACATGAATATTGGTACAAGAGAGCGCCAATATATATGCGCCACACTTTGTGTGTGGGCTGCGATACTGCCCGGATGCCCAGACCGAAGCAGGTGGTTATCTTAGGGGGCCACACCCCGAGCCTTTGACCTGAAGGTCTAACCCACAAGGCAGTGGAACATCGTAAGGAGATGCAATCCCATGGTAGCCGGTGACCAACGATTGGTTCATACACCATTTGTTCCCGCAGGATACTGGAGCCCATGTGCACCATTGGTTTGGAATCCGGTTAAAGCGCCGGACATCCGCTTTTCGTCCTCTCATTTTTGTAAACAACACCCCCGCCACGAGAAGGCAGTGAGTACGACTTGCCTGACAGAGGCTATATACGCGTGGCCATGTGGAAAAATTTCGAGAGGGAGAGCGGACTCTCCCCACTCTCGGCCGTACCAGGGCATTCGGAGGATTCACCTAGGGGAGTTGAAAAACCCTGAATCCAAAACAATGGAGCAGCCTTCACACAAGTCGGATAATAATTACAACTTTGAAAAATTATTCACGCCTCGATTTACATTCAGACAAACAATACTCACAATCAATTGGTGTTGGGGACGTTAGATCCCCAGAACTCACTTTGAAAAGGACCTAGTTTTGTAATTTTATTTAGAAAATTTGAATTTCTTTCATCTTCATGTCATATTTCCCACTTGGGAGAATCTTAAATGCTATTGGTTCGTTGTGTCTTTTAGTATGCTATTTTTTAACTCTCCCCAAGGATGGTTTTGTGCTGTATATATACGTTTTGATTTGTGCTTGTTGTTATCGCTCGTTTTCTGGCTCTTGTGGAATATACTTTCCCATTCCAAGCTTAGACTTCTTCCTCTAGTTAGCGCAGCTGGGACGCATCGAATAGCTAGCTTATTTGGTCTTTTGGTCACTGAGTCTTGTTCCGTTCGCAGATTAAGTGAACTCGTAATCGCTTCAAACCTAGCAAATTTAGCGACGGAGTTGGCGCAAACATGGATCCTTCAAAAGTAGAACAATTGCTCGAGTAGCAGCTAGAACTAACGCAAATGTTAGCAGATGCAAAGTTTACGCCTAACACGAAACCAAGGACTTCTAATACTACTACTACTGCATCATCAGTTGATAGAATCGCTAACAGTATCTCCGAGTTTCATTATAATCCTGATTCCAATGTTACATCTGATATGTGGTTTCGATGTTATGAAGACATTCAAATTTGACTTAGCTAATCAGGATGATGCTTGGAAAGTCCGCTTGCTGCTTCGAAAACTGGGTCCTAGTGAATTAGAGAGATATTGTAACTTAATTCTGCCTCTAAACCCACGTGAGCACTCATTCTCGGATACCGTCCAGTCATTGAGCCAACAATTTGGAGATAACTCTTCACTGTTCAACGCACGTTATCGATGTTTGAAGCTGACTATGAACGAAGACGCTGATTTTCTCACACATGTGGGTATCGTCAACCGAGAATGCGAACGCTTCTAGTTGAAGTCGCTTACTGAAGACCAATTTAAAGCCCTTATTCTCATCTGCAGTGACATTAGAACACATTTGCTAAGTCGATTAGACCAAGACTGATATTGTAAATGAATATCAAAGTCTAATGCATTTGCAGCGTGACACTACGACGGTCCAGCGTGGTGGTCTAGATCGTACCGAAGTTCATGTAGTCCAACAACCACCTAACCCGCATAAATCTACCCCGACTACACCTAGTTCAGGTCAACAGGCAAAAACAAATCCTCTTGCCCAACGATGGCAGTGCGGTGCATGGCATTTTGTTCGAAGCTGTCCATATAAACAACATCGGTGAAGGAAATGTAAAGCTGTGGGTCATAAAGATGGGTTTTGTCAAAAAAAGCCGAATAGCTCCAGAATTACCAGGAAGCCTGTCCCTAAATCATGAACAAATTCTTTGAGTCTAGTAGCAACCTGTCACAACTAAACCCCAGGTGAGAGAAAATTTATTACCCTTAATATTAATAGGCATCCGTTTAAATTGCAAATAGACACTACATCTGACGTGACAATTCTCTCACGAAAATCTTGGATCAGAATGGGCAGACCACACACGGTGCCAACAATACAGAAACCTCATACTGCATGCGGTAATCACCTACGTTTGTTGGGACAACTAGATTGTAAAGTGTCTTTTCACGATTCAACGTTTACCGGGGTATGTTACATAACGCCAGCTGATCTAAATTTACTTGGTTTAGATTGGTTCGACCAGCTGCATTTAACTGATGTCCCGTTAAGCACCGTATGCCATCTGATGGAACAACCCCATGAACCTGAAGCATATACAAAGAAGCTAATGACGGAGTTTTCAACCATTTTCCAGCCTGTATTGGGTCAATGTACTGACATGAAAGCAACGCTTCGGTTGAAACCTAAAGCTAAGCCTGTCCTTCCGTCCAAAGAGATCTGTGCCGTATGCAGCATTATCGAAAGTTGAAGAACTCAATCGCCTACAACTAAAGGGAGTTATTAGCTGTTTCTTATTCTGCTTCGGCAGCACCCATTGTGGTTATTAAGAAAGCAAATGGCACAATATGAATATGCGCTGATTTCTCAACAGGTCTTAACGCAGCTCTAGAACAACATCGTTACCCGTTGCCAGTTCCTGCAGATCTGTTCACTATGCTAAATGACGGAACGTTTTTTGCAAAGCTGGATCTTGCTGATGCTTACTTGCAAGTGGAAGTAGATGAAGTATCAAGAGAGCTGCTCATTATCAATACCCATTGTGGGTTGTTTCAGTATAACCGTCTATTTTTTGGAGTCAAGACTGCCCCATCTATCTTCCAGCAACTGATGGATACCATCCTATCAAGTATATCGGGGGTCGCGGTTTATCTCGATGACATATTAATTGTTGCGACATTAGAACAGCTAGAGGAACGCATGACATTGGTACTGCAACGCATCAGTGACAACAGGTTGCAGTTACGCCCGGAGAAATGCCAGTCACGTGTCACGTATGTCTGAACACCGATTACTACGACGCGCAATGATGACTAGTGTTGTGAATGGTTGGAAGAAAGTTAGGGGCGGCCAAACCAAAATGTGGCATCAGTGCATGAATTCACTAACTTCTGATCCGATCCATGTTGGTAGATGCAGACTACTTGGTTGGGATCCATGCGACTATCGTAACCCGTGGTTGATGAGTGTGACATAGCTCAGAATCGATCACAATGGAGTAGATGTATACACTTTTTGTCTTCCCTTAAACTATGAGATTAAAATTATTTCATATCTTCATTTCTACGAAATAATTCTTTCTTTCTGTACTATATCGTTATATAAAATCTTTCCTTTATTTATTACACCATTGAACTAACTATTTCTATGAATCCGGTCTTCATCTTGCTGTGTTAATGAGGTATGGAAACTTGAACTGATGTATATATGTGACTGGTCTTACGTTGTTGCTGACAGACTGAATCTGAATATCTCCTTGGTAACGTTAAGAAGGGAACTAGTGACAAAGTCAAGTATAAATAACAACGATAATCATTGTTTTGGTTTTAAAGTATGCTGTAATCCAAAAGACTGTTACGGCATTCATCCAACTTGCTGGAAATCTTCCTACAAGCTACGTTCCCAAAGCTAGTCGTTTCACTGAGTCTTCTAATTGATTTAGAACAAAACAACTTAAGTTTGGTAGGCAACTACGATTACTGATTGCGAACTAAGGTTTTCAAAGAGTACGTAGTACAAGAAAATATCAAGAAATTGAAGGCAATCAAAAGAAAGCCAAGGGACCTATGTTTTTAGACCGCTGACCTAAATCACAAAGAACGTACAATTTTGAAGGAACCGATACTCGGCATATAATTCAACTCCCATTACCTATAGTTACAGTAACAGACGTCAGAACAGACCTAGTTGGACAGAGACTTACCTACTAGAAGGCTGGGTATTGACATATACAAATAAGTTACAATCTACTAGAAACTTACAGCATTATGAATTCTAGCGTATGTGCTTTCAATTGTTCTGCATTATGCATATCAGCAAGTCCAAATATATCACACGCATTCTCTACGGAAAGACTTTCCACAAGAGCCTCTTCACACATTGTTTTTAATCGTTCTAATTGGTACTGAAAAATTAACAACACAATTACAAAACGAAATGAAGCAGAAATTTCAAATAAAAATGTAATGAATGAACTACTTTTCGTAGGGTTACGGAAACTGTGGAATTACATTTGAGTCATGAACCGATCAATGTTAGACCACCATTGAAAACCTGAAGGCAAAGGACGACCGTTTCGCCATAGTGTGGGACTCCTACGTAATGAGCATTTACGAACCCCACGCAGGGGTCGGACCCAGAACCTTTGGTCTCGCGCGAACAATCAGTCTTTTAACCACTTAGCCGGTATCCAATGGAGTTGGTTGAAGTTAGACATTCAAATCCACAGCAGTCCATATAACTTTCCAAGCAACATCTGGGCTAACTTAGTTTACGAAATTGACCAAGTGTGACCTCAGTTGTTCCCGGAATTTACCTTTATCTTTCTTATCGCTGAGATCAACTTTAATAGGTTTTCTCAATGTGGCTTTCCTGCGTCCAGTGAGGTGCAAGCAGATATTTGCTCGTATGAGGGCATGATCAGTCTCAACATGTACTCCAGAACGAGCGGCAGTCTGCTTTCAAGCCTCTCTAGCAATGACTGATGAAAATATGGTCTATTTGAGTACATCGTTGGTTTGGTGCAAAGGGTTGCCATGTTAGACGATGTATCTTCTTACGCATAAAACTAAAGCTTGCTAGAAATAAACGATTGTCTGAGCACAGTTGCAGCAGATGGTCACTAATATCTGTTTGCTGAGTCAGAATACCATAATACCCACCTAAATGTATTTCTGTTTGGTTTAAGCTATCTACTTGGACATTAACCACCTTCTACAAGTCAGTCAGTCAGCTACAATATAAGACCAGGCACATATATGCATTGGTCCAAGTTGCCACACCTCATTAGCACAAGATGAACTCTAAATTCGTGGGAGTGGTTACTTAAATGGTAGTAAATTATAAAACAAAGGTTGCGTCAGCACCTGAACTAAGTATAGAGAGTGAAGTAGTTGAACACCTCGTCAACTTTAATTATCTTGGAAGTCTGATCAGCCATAATGGGTTGGTGTCTGACGAAACCTCAGCACGGATTATAAAGGCTCGTTTAGCTCTTGCCAAATTACGTCACCTATGGCGAAGGCGAGATATCCGTCTATCAACTAAGGGGCGAGTTTACTGTGCGGCAGTCCGTTCTGTTCTACTTTACGGATGCGAAACGTGGCCATTAAGAGTCAGTCACAGGCTACTAGTATTTGACCACAGATGTCTTAGAAATATCGCTCGCATCTGGTGGGATCACCGGGTAAGTAATAATGAAGTTAGACGCAAGGTGTTAGCGAATGATGGTAAATCAGTTGATGAGGTTGTGAATCTTCATCGACTGAGACGGTTGTCCCACGTGATGCGTATGCCTGAACATCGATTACTACGACGCGCAATGATGACTAGTGTTGTGGATGGTTGGAAGAAAGTTAGGGGCGGCCAAACCAAAATGTGGCATCAGTGCATGAATTCACTAACTTCTGATCTGATCCATGTTGGTAGATGCAGACTACTTGGTTGGGATCCATGCGACTATCGTAACCCGTGGTTGGTGAGTGTGACATAGCTCAGAATCGATCACAATGAAGTAGATGTATTTTTATTTATTTATTTATTTATTTGAACACATAAATATTCTTACAAGAGTGCGCCAAATATGTATGCGCCACACAAAACAACGAGAATTTAAAGAGAAGGAAAAAGAAAAAAGGTAAGAAGAGTGACAAAAGAGAACAATAAGGAAGAGATTAGTGTAAGGTAGTGTTATAATAACAGTGGTAATAATAGGGGAAAGGAAAGGTACAATCAGAAGAAATCTTTCAGTTAAGGAAGATACAACCACTTTTTATGAAGAAAGTAAAAGAAGGTTACAGTAGGATCGCCACTGGCTTCTACTCTGAGCCCTACCTGATAACGTCTCTAGCCACTGTGTTGCACCATCTGTCAGACATCAACCAGGGGGTCGTGAAGGACCGACAGAAGTCAGTCCTTTGCAGCTTTTTTTCATACCACAACACCATATCATGCACTGACCACCTCCCCGCTTCTTCCAACCAGTCCCAGAGTCGATAAATAATGCACGACGAGGAATTCTCTGGGACGACATTCGGAGAACATGTCCAAGCCACCGAAGTCGGTGTTTCAAGATGGTGACACCAATTATATTATTGTCTCTGTGCCCGAACACACGATGCCGAACCTCTGCATTACTAACATGATGTTGCCACTGGATGTCAGCAATCCTTCGGAGACAACGACGATCGAACAGAGAGAGTCGTCTAACGTCCTCAACTCGGAGAGACCGGGTTTCACAAGGATAGAGCTCTCACCGACGCGTTGTAGATTCGACCTTTTACAGTCAGACTAATATCACGAAGGCGCCAAAGATGGCCCAGACTGGCATATGCTACTCTGGCTTTCATTATACGTGGATTGGTCTCATCACTCACGCCACCACCAGCACTTAAGCAGCTACCCAGATACACGTACTTCTCGACTACTTCTATCTGCTCACCATCCAGGGTGTGTACATGATTAGAATCCTGCCAGTAGTAGATGTATACACTGTTTGTCTTCCCTTAAACTATGAGATTGAAATTATTTCATATCTTCATTTCTACGAAATAATTCTTTCTTTCTGTACTATATCGTTATATAAAATCTTTCCTTTATTTATTACACCATTGAACTAACTATTTCTATGAATCCGGTCTTCATCTTGCTGTGTTAATGAGGTATGGAAACTTGAACTGATGTATATATGTGACTGGTTCTACGTTGTAGCTGACTGAGTTCCAGCACGTATATCTCAAATGATTCATTACGATAGGCAAGCCCGACCACCACGTCAAGGTAGCAGCAACGGTCGGGACTGGTACAAGTACTGTGTGTGTAGTTGTTTGAAGAAGTTCAAGCTTTCTGTGAAATTCATCTTTCATTTCATCCGCGCTGCAGTCAGTGAGACGCGGGCAAAAATGACTAGAAGGAAACGTGTATCCCAGTCCTTCCGAGTTCTTACGGAGCCGTTTAGCCAAACAGCACATCGGCGACTGTTAACGCTGATCCATTATAATAGTACTTGTTTTGTCTTCAAACTTAGTGCTATGCCTACACCCGTCAGCCCACAAGGGCTTGCCGTCGGGTCACAAGATAAACAGAGGGTGTATCTTGTCGGCTACCCGTTTTGGCTGGTGAGGTCAAGTGAAATCAAATGGTTTAAAGTCGACGTAGGAGGAATAATAGGAATTAAAGGAGAATGATTATGAATGGTGATCTTGTGTGCTGCTAGAGGCATGAGGGTTGTTGTTACTCCCCGGCTGCTCACACCATAGAAGAATATTTCTTCTTGAGAGATCTGAAAATTTGATGGCCCTAACGACCTGAGAACGTGACCGCAGAGCCCAAAAGACGACTGCTTCAGGACGCCGCGCACGACCTTTTCACAGGATGTTTTTGACTGTCGTCACACTCTCAACAGTTAAGAGTACGAGTTTGTCCTAGGACCTTGGGTTTGCTACTTTTATTCTTGTCGTTCTGCAGCCGGCCTGCCGATCATGGTAGGACCCTGAGAAACGATTGTTCCAACCAGTATGGCCTGATTGGTTCATCACTATATGCAAGCTCGACCACCACATCGAGGTAGCAGCGACGGTCGGGAAACAACAAAAAACCTATATATAAGTAAATTTTATTAGACTTTTTTGTAAACTTAACTGAGTACAAAATACAAACAGAAAAATACCAACCTTGTCAGCCGCGGCCAATAACTCGTGAGCAAGTCGATTCATACCAACAACTTGTCCTGTATATATGTATCGCAAAACTTCTGCCACGGTATCTGGCTCCATGTCCGTGATTTCCACTCTATTCGCTCTGGACTCCTCCATGCCGTGTCCAAACATCGCGGCAAAAACTGGGCTTCGAGCGGCTAGAATAGCTTTGTGTGCTTCGAATTGGCGAAGTACAACACTGGAACTTGAAGCTCCGTTTACCGTTGAACTACTACTATTACCGGTACCCATGCTAGAACACTTCACAGTCTGATTTGTTGTACCCAACGAGCACGCTGTGGAGCTCGATGGAGTAGCGACGAGATTAGAATGAGATGAGGTGGTTGAAGCAACCTTTGAAACTGTAGCCAAAAGTGATGAATCCCGACTATTCCGGTTGCGTGGACGATTCGAAGTTGTGGTAGTTGAAGTAGTGTTTCTTCTACGTGTACTACGCCGCACACGACTAGAAGTACCAGAGGTTTCCGCCTCAACAGACTCCTCGGTATCTTCAGATTCCTCTTTCGAAGTAATTAAAGGAGTAGATACAGTGTTGACAAGAGAGCTACTTTGACTAATGGTTGTGCTACTTGTAGTTGTACTACTGCTTCCGACATCCGCGTTATGTCCAGCAGTTTGTTTTATCTTAACGCTTGAAGTGGAAGATGAAGAATCAGTAGTTGTCGGCAAGGCAGAAGATGTGGACGGCACTGAACCGGACATCCGGCACCGATGAACACCTAAAAACACAAGTTATATCATCAGCGAAATAAAATTTGCATGTATCTTGACTATCACCGAAATTTTTGAGATATTATAACACGCCAGTAAGCTTTAAAACCACAAACCTCTCTTAAAATTTATTCCAGAGCACACCCCTACTCAATAAACTTAGTTTAGTCCTGATTTCAAGAAATATAGTTGCTAACGTGATAAAAAGGGGGAAGATAAAAAAATTCTTCTACATGAAAGAAACATATCTGCTCCTTGTCAAGTGTTTTACACCATCTCTGCAGATCGTATTAGGATCAGGATTCTTCCTGTTAATGTCATATAATACAACAGCAGACCTCAATTGTAAGCAACTACTATAGGATTGTGACCAATGTTTGAAATAATCTTATACTTAAGTTGGGTTCATTCTCAAAATATGAAACAAGAAAGTAAACTTGCTTCAAACTCAAACAAACAGCGTATAGGCCAATCAGGAGATCCTTTACTTACCATTTTTGGACGAAGACCATGTGCCATCGGAAGTCCTCTGACTGACATCACAAATACCATTTGATTTCACTTCTTGGTCGTCACGATTTGTGTGCCCTTGAGTAGAAACAAAGCTGGAAGATGTGGCTGAACGCCAATCACCATTAGAAACATTGTTAGTTGAATTATCTAACGGAAATTGTTTTACTGAGGATGGATCTGAAGCACCACCCGTACATGGGACTAACAATGGACTAGGATTAGTAGAAGCAATAGGAACTATTACACCTTTAGTTGGTACATTTGTTGTTGTGGCTGGAGTCAGTGTTGAGGACATAACATGCGTTAGTTGATGATTAGGATGAGATGAAGTACTGGAAGCATGATTATCACTGGTGGCTAAAGTTCGATGAGTTGCTGTAGCTGCTTCTGCTTCACCTTGTTCGTTATTATTATTATTACCATTAGAAGCTAAATGAATCTCATCTTCAACCAGGTAAGTTAACTGTGATTCTCTATAACTGGATTGTGTATCCTCTTCACGTTCACTCTCATTCTCCTGTTGTTCATCTTCATCTTCGTCATCGTCATCTTCATCATCAAATTCTTCACCTTCATCTAATTCATCTTCATCTTCTTCGCCTGTTGATTCGTAAGCTGAGAATTTAGTTACTTGTTCATTTACAGAACTGAAACCGGGTAAAGTATGACCTGAGGCACAAGAATGTTGGTGTACATGAGATATAGAACAATCACTTAAACATTTCCCGTTTGGTGGATTATTAGAAACAACAACTAAAGTAACGTCAGTCAGCAGTTGTTTAAATAACAAGCTTCCAATATCTTCATGTAAATTGCATTCTGGAACGGTGATAGGCTGATTGTTAACCTGTCCACTTTCCGAAAGAATCTCGCCCACGACTGAAACCTGAGGTTTTAATGAAAACAAATTGTTTATACATTACATTACACTGTGGTGAGTCAGTCGGTTATTATGAAGTTAGAAAAATAACGTTAACATAGGCATGCTTGTTTTTAGATTTATTTGCATCAATACTTAGTTTAACATCACATATAATTGAAGTATTTTAGCAATTTTGACTACGAGAGGATTCTACGTTAAAAAAACTAAGCCAGACAAACATATCTTTGTATTATTACAAAACAAATGGCGCAGGTGCATCCACTTTTTGTGTTCTCCCAAATTCTAATCATCTGAATTCTTCATGTCCCTTTTTTTCTTTTTCCAAATTTACTTTACTGGATTATACTCATTGAATAATGTCTTCAAACCCTAATCTTTCCGATCACTGCTTATACTTTTACTACCTCTACCACTATGGGATTTGAATCGACAATTGTATCTCTGTTTTAGTGTGATGTGGTAACTTGAACTGATGTACGTACGTACGAAGTTCTACGTCGTTGCTGATTGACTGATTACAAAACGATTACGTCCATCATGAACTGGAAGCCTGTTAAAGGAGAATACATACCACACAGTCAGAATGTGACTGGAAGCTCACTACAGGAACATGAACCCGGAATATGAATCAAGTAAGGTATAAAAAGTATGTACGATTACAGTAAACACAGGTTTACACAGAAAGACAAATAAATTTAAAACGACTATGTGCTTTATAGAAATGCTTTCAAAAAAATACTTAATTAGTTGCTATAAATCAAAGTGCTATGTGTTTTTACTGTAAATACGAATGTAAAACTCAAAACGATGACAATGATAAGTTTTCTTTGCCAAACCCTTATTTACCGCCCCGGGTACTTCATAAATTAGAATCACACATGATCGGCTGTGAGCCCCATTTCGTTTATGAGATAACACACTTGCAGATAAAAAGCACAACCAAGAAACTTGCAGAAAAGTGAGACAGCAAATCCACAAACATGAAAACACATCACAATAAGCAAGAACCGAATAAAATCATTCAAACATTCCGAGAAAAATAAGACGACACAGTGAAGGAAATCTTATTTTCGACGTCATGGAAATAAAAAGTGAAGGAATGAGTAGGTATCAGCTCATTAAATTAAGAGGGTTTTTCAAGATTGTAGTAAAATGAAGGAGTGAACAGGTCATTTTGTAGCATATAGACCAGGTTTGAGATGAACTGGTAACGTTTCTGCGATACAATAGTTTTAAATTTCTATCCTTGTAAACCAAACTGTTTAACTTTGTAGATTATACTAAAGGTGGTGGGTTAAGACATATGTTTAGTAAGCCTAACCAACGCGTCTCGGCGGAGTATATTTAGTGGTTTAGGGGTGGGTCGGACGGTACGAGCAACCAAACCAAGAAATTGAATTAATTTACGGAGTCGTCGACTACTGATTTAATCCATGACGATAGATAGTGACTACTTAGATGTAGTTATATGATAACCACGGTTAGTGATTGAAAGCTGGGTGGTAAGACTTAATCGTTCACAATAGCGATGTATTCCAACCATAGTTGCTACCTTAATGTGGTGGTCGGGGTTGCATGTCGAGATGAACCAATCAGGCCATACTACCTGGAACAATCGTTCCTCAAGGTCCTACTATGATAGGCAGGCCGGTTACAGAACCCGAGATCATCTTGTTGACGATCGAATCTCTCACATCTTAATAATTCTTCCATACCCACAACTAACCCTTCTCATATATCTTTATCACCACGCATCAATAATGCTAATTATTTGAGTTCTCTTAACGATATATTCCTAGTCACCTGAAACCACGCTCTAAATCACATATTGGAGCTTTTACTGTTAGAATCTAGTGTCCGATAAGACAATAGACTTTTTTGGCTAGGATTCTAGAATCTTGCACCATCGATATATGCTGCGTCACCAAAACGCGCTTAAACGACCCAACTAGTCATTCATTTGACCTCGTCTTGTCAATATAAAAAACCGGCACGATTTAAAATTTAAGTATCTGGAGATCCCACTATTACTTCCCGTGGTCTCGCTGGTGTAGGTAAAGCACTAAGTTCTGAGGCAGAACAGGCTCTCCTATACTGGATCCCAATAGACAGTCGCTTGTGCGCTGTTCGACTAAACGGGACATTAAGAACTCGAAAATATGGGGATACATGCCATTACCTTTCCGTTGTCTCTGCCTACTCTACCACTAGTTGCAGCTCAGACCAAATTAACGGTGAATTTTATAGGAAGCTATCTAACCTTCAAAAAGCTAAACGCTCTGATGTAGTAGTAGTAGCAGTAGTAGTAGTGGCAAGTGATTTTAATGCCCAAGCAAGTACAATAAACCAAACCGAACCCCACTTAGGCGGATCTTACGGTATTGAGGCTCAGCGAACAGATAGTGGTGGTCATCTGTTGCAACTATGTTCAGATAACTGTCTATTTATGGCAAAAACCAACTTTAAATATAAGGAGAAACATCATCTGATGTGGTGACCTCCACGATAGACTCATCCATAGACTCAAATAGACCACATTGCAATTAGCCATAGTTGGAGGGGCTCAGTTAAAGACTGTCACACATCCTTGAGCACATGTTTAGACTCGGATCATGATCTAGTTCGAGCACATATTTGTCTGAGTCTTAATGGACGTAGAAAAGCCACAAGCAAACCCCTTAGTGACCAAACTAATGATGAAAAGCTAAAAAAAACATTCCAGGAACAACTACAAAGGGAGCTAGTCAACCGTGAAAATGATATCCACCCCGAGATAGCTTCGTATAATATTCGAAAAGCTGTGGAAACAGTTATGATATCTACTCGTAACTTCAACCAAAAGGCTAGGAAAACTCAGCCGATTTCAGTGGCGTCTACATCACTGATGGATGCTCGGAAACTCATCCCCACTGACTATGAACACGATAATCAGCGGAGGAAGTTTAAACGTAGGTTGGTATGATAAAACTTGTCAGGGAAGACTTTATCTACTGATCTGATTTATGGATGACTTTAATGATATGAGTTGAAAAGCCGTAATGGATAGTATTAAGATCTTAAATGTGAAACATAAATTGAAGGCATCTTCCTCAGTGTGATCAGTTTAAACCATGTCGCCAACGATCTTATTAGCCCACTAGGGAAGCTGAGATTTTAATCAGTGCTGTTAAATGTATGAGGGTATTTACCACTTATTGGTTACCCACACCGTGGAAGGGTTCTTCTACAGGTACCTGAAAAGGAAATTGTGTCAGAGTTGTCCTCAGTGACCTAAGAGCGTGACCGTAGTGCCCAAAAGACAACTGCTTCAGGATGATGGCGTACGGCCTTTTTGTGCTAGCTCCGTAATTGAGACCCTACCGACCGAGACGAGAATCCATGGGAAAAGGCGAAGTGTGTATTTTTAAGACCGACTTTTTCTAACCCAAACCTTCCGTTGTGGGAAGGCAGCATCGCCGCAGACACTGGTTCTCCGAGAGAAACACCTTACTGCCGTCTAACTCCTCTACAATTAGCAGTACGACTTCGTCCTAGGACACAGGGTTTGCTGCTTTTAGTTTTGTCGTTCTGCAGCCGGCCTGCTAATCATGGTAGGACCTTGAGGAACGATTGTTCCAGCCAGTATGGCCTGATTGGCTCATCACTACATGCAAGCCCGACCACCACATCGAGGTAGAAGCAACAGCCGGGCACAGTATACAGTGGACAAACCAGCTTGATCGGCATAAATAGGAATACAACCAGAGACGCTAAAGTTGATAATCATTAATATGTCATTTAGCAAGTACAAAATTATGTGCTACACTGTGAGCCGCGTTGCTTGTGTAAGGGTCAATGACAGATCCTAACTTCCTAAACCCACGTTCTTGGAACGGTGTTCAAATGTGCAACTTTCTGCTTAGAAATTAAGGGCACCAGCAAAATTAATAAGAATCAGGACAGAAAAAATCGATCTTCAAATGGTAAAAAGAAATAATGATCTTCATACCTCGCATAAAATCGTCAAGCGGTCATTTGGTAAAAGACCATTGGCCTCATCCATGAGAACATCTCGACGAATAAACTTCTTGAAACCCCAATCCTTGCCTTGCACAAACCTATAAGCGCGTTGACTTTCTTTAGATAAGATGGAGGAAATTAGTAGGCGTTACTATCAATACAAACCCATTGCTTTTGTTTCTTCGCGCTTTGCATTCAAGATAGAAAATTTAAACTTTGCTCTGGCCTCGCTTTTAGTTCCACAATTAACCAGTAAAAGATACAGTGATAAATATTCTCTGCTTTCTTCATCTAAGCCCTTTGGATTTATTCTAAGACACCTTGATAAGTAGAGGAAACACAAACAACATAAGAATGACGCTGTAAACTAACCATTTCAACTTATCATTAGGGCCACAAGAAAAAAATGAGCTCTTTACAACCTCTCCCATCTCTTCGCGACAAAAGCTAAAATTGCTTATCGTCCAAACGTATTTCATCTTCGTTACACGCACCTTTCGGAAGTATAGAGAATGGTAGGAAGGAAGGAATTACTTGCGTATGACACCAATATTCAGCAACAACTGGAGGAGGACTGAGAAGATCCAAAGGAGGTGGTGAACTAGTTCGACTAACAGTAGCCACTTGACCATCAGTACTATCCAATGTAGCTCTTAAAGCGTCCATGGAACTAACTATGGATGAAAACAAAGAAATTGGGTAAATTTATGAAAGTTCACTGATTGTACTAGAAGCGATTGACAAAAAATTGAGTTAATCAAAAGTGAGTGAGTAAAATTCCTACTTAAATGATCTATTCGACCACATCAATGATGAGATTTTGTGGCGATATCTGTTACTGAAAGACATGTGAGTTTATGAGGCGCTATTATCTGAAGCGGTTATATGCGAACATAATAAGCATTCCACTAGAGACTAAACTTATTTGTCAACTGGAGATCCTCATTTTAGAAAATGAGAAATAACTTACGACAGGCACAACTTTTGTTAGTCTAAATTGTTATCCCTAACATAAGCACAAAGAAAATCAATGATAGGCGAACGTAAATACTGACACTAGTGAGTAAAAGTAGAAGATATAAGCACAAAAAGTGTTTGACCTAATTAGTGAAATGTGAGATTCTTTCCGACCATTGGAGTATTTTTGAATCCTTCTTTGGTCTGAGTATGTTCGAGACAATTATTTTAAAAAAACTGAAATCACACCCGGATAACCTAGAGGATGATAACTAAACAAGATATTCGAAGACCTGGGTGGTCAAAATACGATAGGTTTAATGACTAATCTGGCCTGATATCGCATCCAATCCATTTTACGAAAGTAGAAGGCAATTATCAGTCTGAAGACTGCATGATGATAGCAAATCTGTAATTCCATTTAAAGATTACTGCGTCAAGATCCATCCTAATTATTTTCGTCAATGAATGACAGCGTAAAGAAATATTAAGTAAGACGGTCAAGATAGATAGGAATCAACGCCTGCTTGGTATGCTCCACAGTTCGAAACTAACTATGTGGAAAGTAAGCGAGTAGAAATACCAGTATCAGTACTAGTGAGCAATTAACTATAGGGAACATATTTTGGAAGGAACATGAAAATTGGGAGCGGCTAACTTTAAAATACATTATCCAAGGTTTGTAACCTCAGATAATTTCTAAATATTCTTGAAAAACGACAAAGGCTTATAAAATATTTTGTTCCGGTCATATAATTGAATAAGTAATAATTTGGCGTATGAACCAATTGTTGGTCACCGGCTAAGATGGGACTGCATCTCCTTACGATGCTACACTGCCTTGTGGATCGGACCTTCAGGTCGAAGGCTCGGGGTGCGGTCCTCTAAGAGAACCACTTGCTCCGGTTTGGGCACCCGGGCAGTATTACAGCCCTCACGCAAATCAAACGCGATTTGTTTGGCCCATATGTATTTGGTGCCTTCTTGTACCAATATCTATGTGTTAAAATAAATAAATAAGTAAAAAAATTTGGTCCAGTTCAGTCAAAATGTGTGTAAGAGTTTAACTTCATCTACGTCGGTATGAGCTAAGTAGTTTCACTAACTCTCGAAGTAAATCCAAGCCGATGTAAAAGGTCCCGAGAGAAGATGGTCTAGTCGCATACCACTAAATGCAATGCAGGCTGGCATATAATTAGGTCGGTAAAAAGCTAGAAGCCATCACTACCAAGTGGTATAAGTTCACAACTGATCCGGCAATGGGTCTGGAGAGAGAACTCGTCGTCAACAAGATGACCTCAGGTTCTGATAGAAGTATGAGAGTGGTTGTCACTTCCGGCTGCCAACATGGGAGAATATTTCTTCTTGAGACCTGAAGAGGAAGCTGAAATTGATTATTCCAGCGAACTGAGAGCGTGACCGCAGTGCCCAAAAGACAGCTGCTTCAGGACGGTGGCGTACGGTCTTCTCATGGGAAGATTTTGACGAGTTAGCATTGCACTTCAAAATAACTTACTAGCCAAGACGAGAATCCATGGGAAAAGGCGAAGTGTGTATTTTTAAGACCGACTTTTTCTAACCCAAACCTTCCGTTGTGGGAAGGCAGCATCGCCGCAGACACTGGTTCTCCGAGAGAAACACCTTACTGCCGTCTAACTCCTCTACAATTAGCAGTACGACTTCGTCCTAGGACACAGGGTTTGCTGCTTTTAGTTTTGTCGTTCTGCAGCCGGCCTGCTAATCATGGTAGGACCTTGAGGAACGATTGTTTCAGCCAGTATGGGCTGATTGGCTCATCACTGCATTCACGCCCGACCACCACATTGAGGTAGAAGCAACGGCCGGGAAATAACCCGACCACATCGAGGGAACAGCAATGATATCGCAAAGGTATCTACAAAGTGATATCCTAAAATGGCCTGTATATTTTAAGTTCATTAGGTGTAGCTCCCCAAATCCTGAATTACGGTTATATATATATATATATATATATATATATATATATATATAGAGAGAGAGAGAGAGAGAGAGAGTAGTACATGTTGTATTATTCGTTGTTTAAATGATGGTGGATGGTTCCTGTGTTTAAAACGTAGGTACACAGTGACAGTTTAGCTAAGTCTGGTCTAGGACTTCTCATAACTACTCACTGCTTTTCATTACTGCTTATGTAGGGACACTTACACTCAGAAAAGCAACATAAGTTGTGGCGCCTAATGGACATCTACTCCATTTAGAAACCTAAAACAAACTCCAATATCCAATGTAGATATCAACAAATCTGAGTCAGAAAGTTTTCGGCTCAATCTGCTGGTGTAAACAGACAGCTGTGTGTTTTAAAAGACGTCCAAATAATAAAATATAGGTGTCTAGTGAGCATAGTTCGTGCGGATTTTATGGAAAACTAAGGAAGATCTAAAGGAACGAATTAATATTCCACCTAACTTGTCATTCGCTATTCCTGTCCAACTGAATCTGAATTGTCCAACATTGACAACATGAGAAGTTGTAACCTTCAAAGGGTTATTGTGAACTCTTAATGATGATTAGCTGCCAAACATGATAATTTAAAAATAATATGAATATTGTAAGTTCTAGAAGTAAAATTAGTGGCTGACATAGTTATAGAGCGAAATTTAAACTCCAACATGTAATAAACCGGAAGCAAATTAAGACATGATTGTCCGCAGCGGGATACAAAAACGAAGAAAATAGAATCACGATGAAGAGCTGAAGATCAATAACTGTTTAACAATTATGGTGATGGCGGCGGTTATGGACCGATGGGTGGAGGCTATGGCGGGTATGACGGTGGTTACGGGGGTTCCTACGGAGGTGAGTAGTTTACTTGATGGTTCTATCGACTAGGTGGTCCTTATGGTGGATATGGCTCAAACGGTGGTGGTGGTGGTGGTGCCTACGGGGGTGGGAATTACGGAGGAGGTTGGGGTCCAAATCACATGAATGGAGATGGTCCTGGCTGGGGCCAGGGAGGAATGGGTGATGGGTTTGGGCACTACGGGAACCAACAAAACTATGCCGGTGGTCCTATGCGCGGTGGCCCACCAGGCGGTTACCAGAGGAATGCTCCCTATGGAGGTAAGTTCACACTCCGTCCAAACTAATCTGTCTTCTTCATAGGGGGCTATGGCCGCCGTTAATTTCAGTCAGGTAAGAATTTCTTAGTATGAGCATGTTTTCAACGTCTAATTGCTTCTTCATATCCGTTGCAGGGTTAGTATGGCCTCAACAGTTTGGTCTAGGCAGTTCTACTAGCAGAGGAGACAGAGTTGTCCTAGCGCCCTCAAGTTCTAGGTCAGCCAGCAGAAAGTCGACAGCCTGTCTATAGCTGAGGAGGCCAGGGATCCTATTATTCACTGTGTATATACTGTTAACTGTTAATTTTCACTGCATGTGCAATCGAGCGTTCTTTTTAACTGTCATGTCCGTTGTGAGTTAGCATCCAATCAAGAGTGACTTTCATCCTTAAGTGTAAAGTTTCGTATCATAATTGCATAAGCCCATGCAGCGTCATTTTTTAACCCAGCTTTGTCACTAGTATTAAAGGAAATAAAAGTGTTGAAGCCAGTTAGTCTTTTGAGTTATGAGTTTTGTAATTGGTAGTGACGAGGGAGATGGATGCTTGTTGGGCGGGAGACGAGGTTGACTTGCTAGGTCTTCCAGCCCCTTGTGTTAAGCAGGCCTGTCACTATGTCAGGCACTTGAAAGTGAGCAGTTTTAAAATTCGTTGTAGAGCCGTAAATTTGGGTCCAGAAAGGCATGTAGCAAGGTCGAGACCAGGGTATCCATTCACTTTGTTCACAATTTTTGAGTGGTTTTGCAGATCTCGCGGTGCCCCTTGGAGGATTGACACTCGTCCGCGGCGTGGGACGCAATGGACTCGGGAACTTGTATGGTTGAACCATCGTTATGTATGCTGTGAAACATTGTCAAAAATAAATTTACGGATTAATTCCGCATGTACAACTATCTTCTTTTTTATTACGGTTGTGACTGGGTGAGTTACACGGGTTTGGGTGGACAAGTGGGACCAGTCTTTTCTTTCGCGCGACAGTTCGTTCACTAATTCATCTCATACCGGCGCTCGCGTCCCGTAGCGATAAGTCGTCGGTGTTCCTGTATATGAAACAGGCAGGAGCATAGGGGAATGCTTGTCAACTAGTGGGGTGTTACTCTGGGTCACTGATGGATTGCCGAGTTCCCTCAGACCTTTTGAAAAGCTCCCGAGACTACAGCGTGCTACAGGGGTTGGCTGAGTTTAAGGGGTGGGACGTGTGATGAGAACCCAACTCGCCGTTGCACTCCAAGTTGCGAGTTTCCCTCGAGGTTTGAGGTGAGGTGGACTCGCTGGGGGACGTCGACCATTTGCGATGTCGAACGGTCGCCTACTTCGCGGAGGGCACAGACCACACCGGTCTGACGACTCATCGTCAGCTACTGTGCAAATTATTCCTGTTTCTGAGGTGGATGAAACACTACGCAGTAATACGTCCCGAATAAAACTTGTAGATTAGGTGAGAGGCCATGCCATCGAGCTGGTCAAGTAGATTCCAGATTTAGTGGTGATGAATTTGCTCTCAACCCACGTTTTCACGATGAAAGTATGTTCTGAGATGGTCAGGAACCAAATATTCAGCTTTGGTCTAAAACGAACATTAAGTTGTTGGGAGAGGTGCAAGGCATCTCCATTAGTTATGTCTTTCGGTTCGCAAAGATTCGTTCTGTCTTTCTTGCACTTGTTTGTTGGCTGAAGTCTGTGAAGGCTGTAATTTTCTTGTGTGGGTTGTCTGATTGTTTACTAGTTAGTTCTCTACTCATATGTAAGCTAATGTGACCGATGATTCCAGTTGTGTTTTATTTCGGCGTTCCTCCGTTCTTACCTCTGTTCTGATGCATTTCGTTCATTAGGTACTATAAAAAGTTGGTTGCGGTTCAAATCGTACGTCTTATGTACTTAGTTTTTTCCCCTCTGCGGCATTTGGGGCTCGTTTTCGCAACTGTTTTGGTTGATATGCGTCATAATGTGAAGCTTGATAAATGCTCTGTTCATTGTGTATATATGCAGCGGAGTTATTACACCTATGGGATATGTTTGAGCTTCTTTCCGAATGTCGATGTTATAACATCACTTTATATTTAAAGTGAGTAAGAAATTGATTTTATAGTAGCTAAATGTACATTGAACAGAAAATGTCAGCTATTTGTGTGGAAGTACACAAGTAAGACTGCTATGACCACTTTCCTCAATAACTTTTGCATATGGGAAAGTGAGTAGTGTTTAAGTAACTTTCGTTAGTTTGCAGCTAAAGATTCTTGCTGTTCACGTGATCACGAAAAGAATATTTGGGAAGTCTTAGTAATTATGACATAATCGCTTACAGAAGTATGTGTTTATATCGGAGTTATTGTATAATTACCTAGGCATTGGTGCTAGCCTGTGTTCACAATGAAGCCGTTCATCTCAGGATAGTCTTTCCTGTTCAGTCTCCAAATCAATACTGAATTATAAGGTGTTAACAATCTAATAAAAGATTAGGAGTGTTTTGTTTCTTCTTGATATATTTTGAATATATCTACTTTCTGCTTAACTTACAAACCGTAGAATTCTAATGAGGCTTAAATTAACAACAATCAACATCAGGTACAAAGTTGCGTGTTAGTGGTTTATACAATTTTCCTGTGAACTTAAAGAAATGTCAAACACTGTAGATACTTCTCCAAAAGTTCCTTAAATTTTCAAACGAAATGCCGTTCACTACTCCCGCAATGGTACGACGCGGCCGTGCTGTGCTTCTAGGTTTTCAATGGTGGTCTAATATTAATCGGTGCATGATCTCGATCAGAATATTAGTAATCTCCACAACCCTATACTGTTATACTATATGGTTGAAATGAATTATCACCAACATTACATGTAGTCACAGGATGTAAGATCTAATATTTGACTTTTTCTGAAGTCATTTCTTCTTTATGATTTTAATTAAGTTGTAGCATGGACTTATTATTACTTTTCGTATACAAAACTTCCTAGTTTTGTATACATGCTACGACGAGACTCCAAAATAGTGTAATAATACTGGACAATCGTAGTCATTTTTTCATGTTTTGATTTGAAGTTATATAGTTCATATATGTATATGTGACTAATTTACAGTACATTTGACCATTAATCTATGTGCTCGTGATGTTCATGACGTTTTGTAATATATTGATTGGCACATTTCATCATGATATGATACAGTATTGGGAAATTTTGCTGAATAAAAAATTATAGACGACATCTCACAGATGAGAGAGAAGTTTATGACAAGGATATTTAGGATAGTACTGAACTCCAGACAAGGAGCATTGTCTGTCTTAAGAGTATCAGTTGAATTGACGGAGATTTTCTGATCATGATTAGAATTTTATAGAAGCTGCGTTCTCTAAGCTGAATGTTGTAATCGTAAAACTCATCATAGCTCAGCTTGAGGATTGAACACTGTCATAAAGTAGTATCTATTGGTCTTTACTAAGAGCTTAAAAGAGCGTTACAAACTAACAAATATATATATACGTGTGTGTTTGAATCAGTTAACCTATGTTAAGGTGAAATTAATTAGTTATATTAAAAGCACATTTCATAACTAGTTAAAAATTATAGACAAAAAATCTGATGTCAACAACTACCAGTTCATAATTTTATATAATGGCTTTGCAAACAAAAATTAAATATTGATTCTATTTAAAACCATCTACCATGACATTAAGATATATCTCTACAGACGACAGTGTATATAAACAATATACCTTAGTAGTAAATGTTGATAAGTATTTAGTGCTTTTTATTGAAATCGGTTGTTATTTAGGGTTTCATTGGTTAAAACCTTCTATGACGTAACTAAACAAGCTTAATTAGTGTTTTTTTTAGAATATAAGTTTAAATGAATCCATACAGTTTGATAAGATTAGCGTTAGGATGGTGGATTAGAAAGAAATAAACATTTATTGCAATACGATTTTCACTTTTGATCACAAGTTCGTCATTCATCGAATAAAGTATTCCAACCATACAGTCTTATTTTCTTGATTGCGATCATAAATCGATTGATGTTAGATCACCATTAAAAACCTGGAAACACTAGACAGCCATTTTGCCGTAATATGGGACTCATCAGCACTGCACATTCACGATTCCACACGCGAGGCCCGAACACAGGACCT